AGCAGAAAACCTCTCCTCCTGGTTACCTGCGCGCCCGTTAACACAGAGTGTAGAAGAAGTCAAGTTCACAGATTACAACTTCCGGTACAGGTTTCAAATTAAAGGCCCTTTGACGAACTTTGGAAGAAAATTTAAAAATCGTGTTAATTACAGTATTCACAGTTTATTCAACCAAACGTATTTAAAAATGTACGATATTTAAATGTTATCTTTTGCTATTTAGTTATACTAGATATCATTCCATATTGTATGCTTTTATTCTGACAATAATTCTTACACCGGAAAATGTAAACAACATAAAAAGTTTCTGTGGGGTGTTTGCTCGGATTGTGAAAAGTAATTTAATTTTAGACCATAAAATGTTATTGATATTGCCAAACATCCTTCTGGACTGGCTCTCTGTCCAGTGTGTACCCCGCCTGATTGCCCATTGACCGCTGGAGGGATATATATATATATATATATATATATATATATATATATATATATATATATATATATATATATATATATATATATATATACATATAGATATATATACATATAGATATATATACATATATAGATATATATACATATATAGATATAGATATAGATATAGATGTGTCTGTGTGTGTGTGTGTGTGTGTGTGTGTGTGTGTGTGTGTGTGTGTGTACGTTTTACATTTATGTTTAACTATTTATCAAAATTTAAAGTATGATATTTTACTAAATATGAAGTAATACAATAAAATTCTAAAACATTTACGTTAAGGGTTACACAATATGAACGTACATCATTACTTTAAAACAATAGTTTTTATTATTACCACTCAGATTTAAATTTTTTATTCAATAAAACTGATAAAAATGTTTATTTCCTTTTTAACTTTTTGGTGTGAACAGTAAATTCATATTTAGGAATTATTTGAATGCTGTGCTTATGAGCAACTAAATTCAAAAGTAGTCAAGAGCTTTTATTTTAAAGGGGATGTCTACAGTGTTACATATCACAATTTTAAATGCAGGATCATATTTCTAATAATTTTATGACATCCAAACTTTTAAAATGATCCCTCGGGGTCAAAAAAGCTGTCAAACCACCTATCCTGATATGATTTGATGTAAATACAATCAGATGTTTATGCACCTTGTGAATAAACAAACGATTCCCACCTCACAAGTCCTCAGGGTGAAGTGAAGTGACCCAGATCAGCATTCTGAGATTGCACTGATTAGAAAACACAGCTGCACAAAAAGTCTGAATTGATGAGCAACAAATCTCTGATGGTACACCCTCCGAGAGCAGCTTCTTTTGAGATTTGAGGTTTGATAAGAAACTGATGTAACATTTTCCCTGGTTTGAGGTTGTGTTCAGACACGTTAACCTGCAGTTTGACACCTGTCTGTAGCCTGTGCGGAATAAATATCCTGCATTCCATCCAGAGAGAAAGGCTTTGGATGATGACAGATGCTCCATAACTATCACCGTGACCAGTCAGCAGCAGGAAGTGCTCTAAGCCCAAATAAAACAGGATTCTGATTAAAAATGCAAATCCATTAAGGTGTTGTAGAGAATATATTCAGATTTAATGAGACAATATGTCCCTTTTAGTGTTTCAGTTGTGTTTGTTATTACACAAACGCTCTGTAGATTAGGAAACTTTGTTTTTTTATTTGAATGAATAAATCTGACAATTATAAGACCAGAAAATATAAGCCCAAAGTTTAGGGAGTTTATAAGAAAGAAATCTTCAACCAAAAGCTAAAAATTTCTCTAAACACCAATTTTTTTAAGTATTTTTGCCTTTTAACTAAAACAAAAACCAACAAATTACAGAAACTACACCTCATAATAACAAAGTGCTGGTTTTTTACAGGCTTCTGGAAGCTGACCAATCAGAAGAAAGTTTGTTTTAAAGGCGGGGCTTTAAAAAGAAGCTCATTTTAGAATGAAGATTGAAAAAGCAGTAAAACTTTTGTAAATATTAGGTTTTAAGTAGCTTTTGATCTTCAAACAACTTATAATTTGTTTTAAACACAAAATTAAACCGTTTTTATTCAGATAAAAAACTTTTGTTTCGTCATGATCTAACGAGTCTCCAAGTAAAGCAGGTTGTTGGGACATGTCTTCCTCAGGTCCTGAACAGAAGAATCCCTCTCTGGATGCTCAGCTCCTGATCCCAGAGTGGATCCTGCCTGCACACGTAAGGAAAACTCCACTTTCCGCTGTCATTCCTCCACTGGCTGCTTTCCTTTCACACTTTTAATTTAAATTCCACCCATCTCCTCTGATCTTGGCCGTGGGTAGCACTTATATAAACCAGGACATCTGTTATTTTAAGTGCAAGACACACACAACGTGACATGTCCTCACACCCAACTCCTGCGTTTTTGCCACCGGTTTACCGCAGCAGAAAAAACACCCTGATGTCTCAAACTCTATCAGTTCATGAAGAATTTGTTATTTTACACTGTAACCGCTTAGGAGACTAAACCTGATGGAAAAAAGATGACAGAAGACAGCAAGATTAAAAGACAAATTATTTATTTGTATTTTTAAAACTTTGTCTTGATGTTCTGGAAGACTCCAAATTTTAAAGTATTTTTTGCCTTTTAACTAAAACAAAAACAAATTACAGAAACTACACCTCATAATAGCAAAGAGCTGGTTTTTACAGGCTTCTGGAAGCTGACCAATCAGAAGAAAGTTCCTTTTTAAGGCGGGGCTTTAAAGAGCAAGTCACCCCCAAATAAACTTTTTTTTGCTGATAAACTAAATAAACGAGTGTCTAATCGTGCTGCAGACACGTGTCGTCAACAATTTGGCACTTCAGTGCATCTTAGTTAAAATTTAAATATTCTGCCTAAAACTGGCAGTGTTGTGCCGTTGTCAGGTAAAAACTCTGCACTGTATTTTAATTTAAATCTGCCACCGCTATTGGGTAAGAGGTATGCTATGATGTAAACTGGTACATTATGATGTCACAGTGCTGTTGTGAGCCTGTGTGTGTGTGTGTGTGTGTATTTGTTAGCAGCTCCGCCTTCTCGGTTAGCCTGGCAACAGCATTTGTTGCATTTTTCAAATGTGAAGTGGGAGTGGAGTTAGAATCTGGTAGGGGTTGACTTGCTCTTTAAATTAGGCTTGTTTTAGAATGAAGAAGTGTGGAAGAACTTGTCCTAAATGGCTGTTTGTGTCTAGATTTGAACAAGATTGTTTCACAGCACCAACCTTTATACATAACACTCAATTTGCACATTTTTCCAACAAGACCCTCTGGTGGTCAAATAAAGTAATTCAGCTGCTGAAGATAAAAAAATAAAAATAAAATAAAAAGACAAATCATCAAAAACAACTAAACAATCCATGACCAATATTTTACAGTGTTTTCAGTTTTTTGGTAGAAAAAATAAACGCTACGTAGAACGGATTACTCTAAAGCCAGGTCAACGCACACTTTCATTTGATGGCGTTCCATTTCCACCAGTTTTCTCTCACTTTCCAATGTCAGATATGTCTGCTGAAGTTTGATTCTCAGGTAAAAGGGACCTGCTCCACCAGTGTCTCTGTAATGAAACCTTAGAAATAAAAGGACAGGAATTATACACGTCCCCCACATGTGTCCTGCCATTAAAATATTCTAGCTCTCCAGCACCTTTCACACCAAAAAGTACTCGCATAAATTAGCATTTACAATCTCTAAGAAAACACTTTTCACAAATAAATTCAAACCAACAGTCAATTCCAGCCAACAATTAACATTCAGCAACACCATAATAAAAACTCCTGATTGCCGTTACTAAAATATTAGAAGCTGACTGCAAGTCCCATTTGAAACGTTTTCCATCTACTGTAACATCAGAGTCTTTTGGCTTTTTTGTGTGATTTATTACTAAAAATTAGAGGTGCTGAAAAAAATTTGATTCAAGTCTGAATCGGGATTCTTATTTCTAAAGATTCTGAATCGATTCACAAAGGTTCAGAATCGATTCCAAGAACTCAAATATTTGGCATGTTACAGGTTTGAGATGCACTTTTTTGATCTTTGTTAGGAGAGTCAGTACTCCGATTACTTTTGTGGTCCCATAAATTGAGATGATTTATGTTTGAATCTGCTGATAAGAGGGCAATGTAATTTTTTCCATACTCAGAAATTTGAGATATTCTGATATTTATTTTCTAAGTTGATAAATGAGTACTCAGGATTACTCATGTAACTTGTTTCTACACATACTTGAAAAGTATTTGACCGTATTACTTTCAAAGCCACTGTTAGGTAACTAAAGATTAGTTATATTTTACAAGGTAATCAAAAATAAATGTTGCCTTTTGGTCAAAAGATTGCTTCTGTTTACAGTTTTAGAATCGCTTTATTTTACCAAGTAAATTAGCTTTTTTTAGCATGACCAGTTTAAAGTCAAATAAAAATGTCCCATAGCTTTAACTAACGTGTATAACAAAGTAGTTAATCCTGGAGCTGACACTGTTCGTTAATATTGATTGTGAATCGATTTAAATTGAGAATCGATTCTGAATCGAATCGGCACCCTGAGAATCGGAATCGAATCAAATCGTGAGTTGCTCTAAGATTCACATCCCTACTAAAAATCTACACCGTTTTGGTGACAGAGGAGTTTCCTGCTGCTGGAATACTGACTGGTATGTCTTACAACAAGAAAAAAGTAGGGAAAGAGGCAGCAGTCGATAAAAAAACAAGATAAAAACTGTTTGTAACGTTTTAGAACAGCAAAGACTTTGGCTCTGTTTTAGCTCTGGTTTAAACAGAATTAATGACACCTGCAGCAATTTAGTGTTCTCCATTTATGAAGCAGATTTATTTTTGTTTTTTATAAAGTTTCTCTAAACGTTTAAATGAGGATTAAAGGCAGTATTATAATTTTAATCAAATATTGGCATTGGTCTGAGAAATCTCTTCAGTAGTCAGGCACATCCGTGGGCAGCTCTGTGCTACTGCCTAATTGTTCCTGAATAACACCTGCTTAATAAATGCTTTACAACATTGTCGTTTGTCAGCAGACAACTTTATTAGTCCACCTTAAATCTGAGTCTTCATCACTTTGTTTTTGATAAACTTTGGGATTCAACAGCCGGTTGAATTCAGCATTCAGACACTGGTTCTGGTTCTGGTTCAGAAATGTTGGGTGTCCATTGTTGTTATTAGGGACATTTCAGCCTGCAGATATCACAGTAGGCAACAGAATTTCTATCGATCGATCTCTAATGAGGATTATCATTAAAAACTATCTGGATACATTCATGTCTTCAACATTCATTCAGAGAGCTTGTTTTTGCTCACCAGATGAGAACACTTCACCTGATAACATGAAAGCCGTTACCCCTGGAAGCAGCAGTGGCTTGGGAGGGCAGTGGAACGTCGCCGTCTCAAATAAAATCCATTATACACTCACTGGCCACTTTATTGGGTACAACGGGTCCAACAGCCCATTAACACAAATGACCAATCAGCAAACCACATGGTGGCAACTCAGTGCATGTAGGCATGTTGACATGGTCAAGACGATCCACTGCAGTTCAAACCGAGCTTCATGGTGACGAAAGGAGATTTAAGTGACTTTGAAAGTGGCGTGGTTGTTGGTGCCAGATGGGCTGGGCTGACTATTTCAGAAACTGCTGATCTTCTGGGATTGCAACGCACAACCATCTCTAGGGTTTACAGAGGATGGTCCAGAAATGGGAAAACATCCATTGAGCGGCAGTTCTGTGGGCGAAAATGTCTTGTTGAAGCCAGAGGTCAGAGGGGAATGACCAGACTGGTTCGAGCTGACAGAAAGGCAACAGTAGCTCAAATAACCACTCGTCACAACTAAGGTACGCAGAAGAACATCTCTGAACACACAACACGTCACACCTTGAGGCAGATGGGCTCCAGCAGCAGAAGAACACACTGGGTACCACTCCTGTCAGCTAGGAACAGGAAACTGAGGCTACAATTCACACAGGCTCACCAACGTTGGACAATGGAAGATTGGAAAAATCATGCCTGGTCTGATGAGTCTTGATTTCTGCTGCAACATTCAGATGGCAGGGTCAGAATTTGGCGTCAACATCATGAAAGCATGGATCCATCCTGCCTTGTGTCAACGGTTCAGGCTGGTGGTGGGGGTGTAATGGTGTGGGGGATGTTTTCTTGGCACACTTTAGGCCTCTCAGTACTGATTGATCATCATTGCAAAGCCACACCCTACCCGAGTATTGTTGCTGACCACGTCCATCCCTTTATGACCACAGTGTACCCATCTTCTGATGGCTGCTTCCAGCATGATGATGCTCCATATCAGAAAGCTGGAATCATCTCAGACTGGCTTCATGAAAACGAGTTGACTGTACTCAAAAGGCCTCCACAGTCACCAGATCTCAATCCAGCAGAGCACCTTTGGGATGTGGTGGAATGGGAGGTTCCCATCATGGATGGGAGTGCTCATCCATCAAGTTCACTCATGACTCGTCTGTGAAACGATAAGAGAATATCTCAGCACAGGGACGAAGAACTCTGGCTTCAGTACTAAAGTCACTTAGCACTGAACACATTTAAAAAAGGCTAAAGATGAACAGAAAATCTGAGATTTGAAGCAGATTTGGCTCTTAGGTTGTCAGATATAAAGTACTGATGTCTTCAGTGTTTGTCTCTGCAGGAGACGAACATGACGATCACACAGGCGCGCACACACACACACACACACACACACACACACACACACACACACACACACACACACTTCTTTTCAGGGCTAATTGTTTTTAGACACTAATGAAGGTTATTAGTTTTAGACTGAATTAAAATAAAATTGTGAAAATGATCCAAAAGAGAACAACTCACCTGCTGCAGGGGCAACACCCTGACAACCTGGCAGCTCCGGTGTGTCTGATGAATCAGCTGGAGATGTAAAAAAGAAGATTCTGCCATGTTCAAATATAATCGAATATTTGGACCTTCATTGATTACAATCATCAGGATAACTGTGATGAAAGAGTCACCATAAGACTATGGTCTACTTACACACACCTGCTGCACTGATTTATATTCATCCAGTTTACACAGCCCTGCAGCTGCAACCTTCACATTATTAATACAAATGTTAATTATATTTACATCAAAAATATGTGAAAACAAATGATCTTGGAGTTTTGGTTTGAGTTTCACAATAAATAAATAAATAAATAAATAAATAAATGATAAGTCCCCCCTTCGAGATCATTTCATGTTGACTTATAATCTCTTTGGTTAAATATAACAAATGATATTTATAGGATTTCATTCAACTCCTCAACCAGTGAATGAATCTCCTGAATGACCAAAGACTCGCTGATGCTGCGTCTGCTTTTCAGCCAAATGGAGCCAATGTTTTGTGAAAAGGGCAAACAAATGTTTGACTTGTTTATGTTTATGTTTATGTTTATGTATTTAGCAGACGCTTTTGTCCAAAGAGACTTACAAGTGATAATCGGCATGTTGCCCTTGAGGCTAACAACAACAACAACAACAACAACTTGACATCCATCATGGAGAGGAGGGAACAAGGAGTGGACAGTAGAGAGGGGGACAGGTGCAGGGAGGGTGCTAGTTTACAAGATGCTCTCTGAAGATCAGGGTCTTCAAGAGTTTCTTGAAAGTCGAAAAGGAAGCCCCTGTTCTGGTAGTGCTTGGAAGGTCATTCCACATTTGTGGAACGATGCATGAGAAGAGTCTGGATTGTCCTGAGCGTGGTGTAGGCACTGCTAGCCGACAATCCTGTGATGACCGGAGCGGTCGGGCCGAGACGTAAGCCTTTGCAAGAGGATTCAGGTAGATGGGAGCCGTACCATCTCGGACTTTTTATGCTAGTGTTAACAGTTTGAATTTGATGCGTGCTGCTAGCGGTAGCCAGTGGAGCTCAATGAACAGAGGGGTGACGTGTGCTCTTTTTGGCTGATTGAAGACCAGAAGCGCCGCTGCGTTCTGGACCATTTGAAGAGGTCTCACAGTACAGGCTGGAAGACCAGTTAGAAGGGCATTGCGGTAGTCGAGGCGGGAGATGACAGTAGATTGCACCAGGAGCTGGGTGGCATGTTGTGTTAGGTATGGTCTGATCTTTCGTATGGCTTGACACACGCGCACACTTAAAAATGATCTAACAGAAACAATTACACTCACTTGTTGGGCTGGAATGGACATCAGCAGATGCTTCAATATGATCAGGCTGCTCTGGTGTTTCTGAGGAATTTGCTGTAAAAGTTTAAAACAAAAAAAAAAGTCCTGTGATCCAAGTTTTGTTGTCTTTGCTGATAAAAATAAACTGTTGAAGGAATCTGATTTTACTGTTTTACAATAATTGAACTTTTATTGATTTTAATAAGCAGGATAGTAGTGATTAGTGTCTCACCAATATGATTTATTTTTGCTAAATGCAAACCATTTTCTGCAAAAGGTTTGTACGGAAGCATGTGTGCAACAGAAATCAAATTATTATGCAGAAGCAGAAATTATTTTTCATTTTCATATTGGAACTGCCAAATTTCACTCATAAATAAAATGAATAAGCAATCTTCCAAACTGCTTTTTCATTTCCTTCTTCATCGTTGCTTATTCTGTGACTTAATGAAGAGGACGACGAAAGTGGAACTGCTTTTTCTTTTTCCTGCCCGACCAGCATAGTGTCTGACCTCACCGCACTACACATTTAGTACACTAGGGGGCGGTGTATGCACAGACACAAAGGAAAGGTCCTGTGTTCGCTGCATGACAACAGGCGATGCAGCAGCGATCTTGGACCAGACTTCTATACGATTCACGTGAATGCCATTGTTGGCTTCAGAAACTGCCATTTGTGCCAAAAAGTGACAAGTTTTCAGATGTGACTATCAGACCCAAAACATCTTCAAACATAGAAGGTTAGGTACTTTACTCACATGGTCCATGGCTGGTCTTTGGTGGTTCTACATGGCTGGTCTTTGGTGGTTCTACATGGCTGGTCTTTGGTGGTTCTACATGGCTGGTCTTTGGTGGTTCTACAAGGCTGGTCTTCGGTGGTTCTACATGAATGGTCTTTGGTGGTTCTACATGGCTGGTCTTCGGTGGTTCTACATGGCTGGTCTTTGGTGGTTCTACATGGCTGGTCTTCGGTGGTTCTACATGGCTGGTCTTCGGTGGTTCTACAAGGCTGGTCTTCGGTGGTTCTACATGGCTGGTCTTCGGTGGTTCTACATGGCTGGTCTTCGGTGGTTCTACATGGCTGGTCTTCGGTGGTTCTACATGGCTGGTCTTTGGTGGTTCTACATGGCTGGTCTTCGGTGGTTCTACATGGCTGGTCTTCGGTGGTTCTACATGGCTGGTCTTCGGTGGTTCTACATGAATGGTCTTTGGTGGTTCTACATGGCTGGTCTTCGGTGGTTCTACATGAATGGTCTTTGGTGGTTCTACAAGGCTGGTCTTCGGTGGTTCTACATGGCTGGTCTTTGGTGGTTCTACAGCAGACGTTAGGTCCTGATTTAGTGCTTCTGGCTCCTCCAGTAAGTCTGCCAAATGATGAAACTAAAGTCACAACTACTACATATCGGACACACAGCCACTCGACCACGACTTCAGAGGCCACCCACCACCTTTCATGTCAGAGATTTAAACGAAAATTATTTTATGGTGAGAAAGAGCTGGTTAATTATTGTCCCTTTGGTGAAAACTTAAGTTTCATTCACTTATTTCTACTCAATAAATCAGCAGTGGTCTCCAGTATGTGAATGTCTTGCAAGTTGTTCTCTGTGGGGAAAAAAGGCTCTTGGGCTCCTGTTTCAGAGAGCAGAAGTAAGCCGATGGGGGGGGGGGGGGGGTCCTTCGGTTAAAAAATGTTTTTTTTTTTTACTTCTAGTTTTTTTTTCATTAACAATAATAACCTTGGTACTGATGCCCCTTCTGCTCGTTATTTGCTCCTTTTTTCCCATCCTTCTCAGGGACCAACACTAACTAGCTTTCCAGAAATGGCTACTAGGCAGGGCTGTACCACCTCAAAGTGAGGGGGGGAGGGTTCCAAATTATTTTCCTAAGTACAGACTTCTGTTAAAGGCTACATTTTATGAAGGAACAAGCATTGTTTGATTATTTTTACTGTGTATAAAGCAGTGGTCCTCAACAGGGGGCTTGCAGGCCCCCACTTTGTCCCCCCTCCCCCCTTCCGGTCACACAGTCGAGCTGGGGGGGGGGGGGGGGGGGGAACAGGTGTTGTCCTTCGTTATATTGTAAGCTTGTGTGTTATGTGCATTACAGCCAGCGATCCAAACAGCAGATATTTTAGCTCACCTAAGCTGAGGAGACATGTTAGCTCTGTTAGCAGGATTGCTAACAGCAGCGCTTGGTGTCCGAGTCCTTGCCTGCCGTAAATTGTGTGACGTTGTCGGTACAGGATCTGCTCGGGTGCACGATCGGCTCGGGGTCCTTCAACTGCCGGTGATGTCAAAGTAGTTGATTGGTTGAACATGAACCTTACGTAAGTTACGTAATCACGTTACGTTGGTCCAGGCAAATTTTTATGTTTGAAAGATGGACAACTTTTACAAAGAAATCCATCATTACCTCTTTGAAAATACACTTTTAGCAAAGAGCTGCATGTATATTAGGGCTGAACGATTAACTGCATGTGCAATTAAACTGTGATGTGACAAAAGGAGATTTTCTAATTGCAAAGGCTGCAATTTGGCAGCGAGTGGTTAGCGCAATGCTAATATATGGAAAAACCCATAGGAATGCTAATGCTAATATCACCGATTACATTATTACAAATTATGAATTAGAAACGTGCCAAATGATTACATTGGGAGTCTAATAGAAAGTAAAACTACCATCAATCAAAGAAGTACAGACAGGTATTTTAGTAAAGCCAGAAAACTTTTAACTCCAGAGTTTTGGCTAGCAGCTATGAGCGTAACTGAACTACGCATGGACAAGATGTCAAAAACTCTAAACACAAAATACTTCAATAAACGGGACACACTTCTTTCCTGCAAATACAATTTCACAGGTGTTGCTAATACCTATGATCCTTCAAGGGATGTGCTCAAAGAGGAGTTCAACAATATGTTTTAGTTTACAAATACCATTATAAACACAAACTTACGTCGTAAGAAACATTATTTTAATAACGAAACTGCTAAATTCTTTCCAACAGTATAGATGTGTAGTGTATTTTGTCCGAGTGGGTTTGCCGTACTTTGACGTCACCAGCAGTCGAAGGACCCCGAGCCGATCTTGCACCCGAGCCGATCCTGTACCGACACAGTTACTGTGCTGCTTTCGTACAAGAAACAAATATTGATGCAGACGGACTTCATAAAATTAAAACTAAGCCATTTTTATTTTATTTGAAAATCTCTATCTCAGGATGAATTTAAAAAGCCATGTTTGTTGTGTTAACAGGTTAAATCCGATTTATTTCTCCCGATTCCGATTCCTTCAAAAACACGTGATCAGGGCCGATTCCCGATCACGTGATCAGATAGGAGCATCCCTAACACATGCTGCGGTCTTTCTCCTTGCTTGTTATTGTGCAAACTTTTGAAATCGCAGGTGGTGTTAGCTCTTTTGGACTCACTAGTTTCTTCAGTGGCTGGTGTTTCCTGATCCAACAGCTCAGCACCCACATCTGTAAAATTGCAGATAAGGCAAATAAGTATTAAAAATGCTTTCTAAGAAAACACGTTCCTGAGGATGTTATTGACATGAGACTCTGATCAGATGTTGTTCCTAGGGCCTCCATATCAAGTTGGTTCAAGGTGAAGAAAAAGATAAAGAGTTCAAAAACAGCACCAGAGTACCGGCTCAGAGCGTTATCAGGGTCCCACCTGGTGGTCCCAGGAGCTCAGCCCAATCCGGTTACACGAGCTCCTCCACCTGTGGAGCCACCACAGCAGCAGGAACATGAAGTGTCTCGTTCATTGTGAATCAGAGCAGAGACCTGGGTAGTGTGACCTGGAGGAGCATAACTGAGAGGAGGAGGCGGGCTTCTGAGAGTTGGAGAGAAAAACTCACTCACTCTGTTTATAATGGAGAAGGGGAGCTGCTGCCAGGTGATAGAAGGAGTATCTGAGAAGCTCCGCAACCCCTTTGACACGTATTCCAGTGAGGAACCAGAGCCAGGAGACCTAACAACTGATCAACAAAGTTCTGGAGCAGACACCACTGAGGGACACTCAGGGAGGATGGGCTCAGTGATTGACCTAAGTAGGGTCAGGCTCACGGCTACAAACTTCCTGTCAACTCAGCAAGAGCTAAGAACATTTTAGAATGAAATCAAATAAAATTCTCATTCATGGGACAATAAATGTTTGTGTTACACATCTCTGATAGCAAAATCAATAAAGATTAGGAATACACAAGAAAATTCAAGATAAATATAAAGCATTACGATCACGAAAGAATGCAGGATTTTGTGTGATTATTAGCATTTATGTTGTCGAGAATAAAGTCTTGAAGTTCTGAGAAGATTTGCATCTCAAATGGGTATTTTTCCAATGTTATAAAAATAACTCATTAGATTTTAAAGCATGTGGAACACTCGTTCAATACATTTGCAGTGCTCTCCAGTAGGAATGAAAGCTACCGTATTTTACGGACTATAAGTCGCACTCTTTTTCATAGTCTGGCTGGTCCTGCAACTTATATACCAAAGTGACTTATATACCAAATTATGTATACCACGCTGCTGCAGTCCGGGCGGCTCCGGCCCAGGTTTCAGCTCCCCTGCCCCGCTGGGAGGGTTTGAAACACCGCCATCGTCTGCTGGAGACCGTGGCGCGCTGCTGCGCCCGCGATGTTTATTCTGTTATTGTTACCGGTACTTGTCTCGCAATGCGAAACACTTGGTCTCAGATTTTGTAAGAAAAATAATAAAATTTCCCCCCAAAATGCGACTTATGTTTTTTTTTTCCTTCTTCTTCATTATACATTTTATGGCTGGTGCGACTTATACTCCGGAAAATACGGTAATTAAATGGGGGGGGGGGGGGCTCTGATGGGCCTATTTAAGGAACTAGCTGAATGCCACATCAGAGTGGAGCTTGACACAGAATTTGGAGTCTTATTTCCTCATATTTTCACATCTCTCCTCTGATTGGATAACAGCAACATGACTACCACCGACTCACTTTGCTCTCCAACATTGAAGTTTCATCTCCAAAAATAACAAGCTTGAAGAAGCTCTGCTGTGTGGTGGAGTTGCTAATGATAACGGTTAGCTTCTACTAGCCAAGATGTTCTCTGCTGTTTCCTGGACGCTAAAGCCTGGTTTATGCTTCTCCGTCAGCTCCGCAAGGGACAGGCACGCACGGATTGACAGAAGCGTTTTGCTCTTTTACTTCTCCGTCTCCTGAAGAGTGTTGCAAAACAATTGCCCGGCAGGACACCAGAGGGCGTAGCGCTGTTCTGTGGTATCCTGTCATGTATCGGTCCAAGATCGTGTGTTTATATTGTGTTTTTTGTGTATATAAGAGACTTTTAACACGGACATATTTGTCTCTCATTCTCCCACCGCTTCATGCGCCCCCCACCTCTAAACCCACGTTTCCTGTCATTTCCGTCAACAAATAAAACGCTTGCTGTGCATCTTTTCAATCCTGAAGTCACGGGAGAATTAAACATTCATATTTTTAGAGTTTTTTCGCGAGGTATTCTTCAAGCTTCTCCGTGTCTGCCGCTAGTTATCCTCGGCTCTCTTTGCAATGGCGGCGCTGTAAACAACAGCGGCGTCCTGACCAGTCACAAGCTTGCGAAATCCGTCTCCTTCGACGGATGTTTAAAAAAGTGGGCTTGACTCCGTACGTACTTGCGTGCCTGCCGGAGCCCTACGCAAGGACGGATAATGGCGTTGCGTGTCTCTGCACTGACGCAGACGGAGAAGCATAAATCAGGCTTAAATCGACAACAACATTCCCTGTCCTAAGTCAAGATGGGTGAGTCCATGAATGTGACAGTGTGATGTAGATTTGTTAGGATTTGCCCATCCTAGCATTTCACTGTCAATTTTCAATAAGAAGCTAAAGCAGGAGATAGGTGTAGGAGACAATTTTCATGTTCAGCCTGCATGAAAAACTCAGAGCGACCGATTAAGACCAGAAATAATCATTAAAAATGTTTTCAGTGTTCCACACCTTTAAAATAATGCATTACATTATTTATCAATAGCCAATAGCTGTTGTGTTCCTTTAGGATTAAACAGAAGAGGTTGACTCACCAGTTGTCTGGCTGGTCTTTTTTCCATTTACAGTAGAACAGTTTTGTGTCGCTGATTCTTCTGGTGAAAATAAAAAAACGTTTAAAAAGTCACAGCTACGCTCCGAGAAGGTTCAGAATACTAGAAGATACGGTCAGAATGAAAAATGTCATCTTACCTTCTCCTCCGTGACCACCTTGCTTGCCTTTTATTAGAGAATAAAATAGTGTTTAATGAGTTTAATTTCGATTAAATTGGTGTTAAAAGTTCTAGTTTGAGAAGACAGCTGAAAAAATGTCTCAGTTTTATTGTTTTGGCACAGATAACCAAACACTAATAGATTTATTTAATTAGTTAGTTCCTGTTTCAAGTCAAGCACACAAACTAAAACAGATTCATGTAAAACTAAGGTCTTTTGTTTGTGTGTGTTAACAGGAAGAAGGCCGTGCTGCTTACCTGTGCAGCTAAACTTTGAACAATTTCTGCGTCCCCACTGACGCAGGTCATGAATTACACTGATGTTATCCAGCCAGTTTGCTGACAAAAAATAAACAGGAATAAAGTTAGGAGTCTAAAATGATGATCTTCTGTGCAGAAGACAGGGGCGTGTCCAGGGAGTGGCCTGGGGTAGCACATGCCACCCTTGGAATCTGATTGGCCACCCCAGGTGCCACCACACTAATTTACCTTTAAATAGGCTTTTCATTGTCCACAAAAGGCTTGGGGGTAAAACAAAATAAAAGCATAACCATTGGTGCCACCCATGCACAAAGTTGTGCCTCTCCTGTGCCACCCCATTTTAAAAGATCTGGACACGCCACTGGCAGAAGAAACTTGTTCTGTAAAGTCTTACTGTTCATGACGATGCAGGAAAAACTCAGGAGTAAAATCAGAATGACTCCAACAACGCCAACAATTAAGCCAGCATTCCCAGTCTCTGGAAAAAAAAAGTAACAAATTTTTTTGTTACTCAGAGTTAGAATACTCAGTATGAATGATTACATATAAATATCTGAATGTAACAACGTACCTCTCTTTAGAGGATTGGGAACTGCGTCGCTAGATTTCTCGCTGGCACGATTTTTCAATAAACATCTAAATTCATTCCCATCAGTCTCCTAAAAACAGATTTAAACTATTCAGAGTGCCTTCTCTATTACAACAAAACAAACAACCGACTCAAGAGTTTCCTGATTAAATCTGTCTGTTCGTACATCTGCTACGGACATCTTATTTGATCCAGAGTCAGGTTTGTCGAGGCCATCAACGACCCACGTCTGAACCACATCTCCCATTTCTGGGGTGGTTGTGAAGTCACAGGTTAAATTACAGGAAGTCATGTCTTTTTTGGATTCTACAGAAACAGAGGGCTTGGGGACCGGGTCTGAATCAAAAAGGAACAATTATAAGTAGATTCATTCAAGCAATAAAAACAGAACAAAAAAACTTAAGATCCGTAACTTACGCAGAACCTTGAGTTCCTGTGAAGCGATAGCATCCTTAGAGTTGAGCTCAGCCTTGTACGTGCCGCTGTCGCTCAGAGTCAGATTTCTGATTGTCAGAACTCCAGTAATCAAATTAAATTCACAGCGATCTAAAAAACACATCAGTAAAAAAAAAAAAAAAGAGTTTATTTTCCCTTCTGTGCACGCAGAACATTCGTTTAACTGATGCATTTGCAGTGGTCTCTAGTAGGAATGTATTCCTTGTAAGTTGTGCTCTGGGGCGGGGGCAGATTCCGGTCCAGTCCGCTGACACAGAGAGAGAGAGAGAGAGTTTACCTTTTTAAACGCCAGAACAGCAGTGAGTGGGAACCGGAGGATGGAGAGAAAGGCAGCGGGCAGGATGGGGGAGGGGGTGGGAGGGGGGTTTACGCTGTAAGTTAGGCAGAAATGTTTTTATACAATAAACGTCTTCATCCCGCTGCTGAGTCGTGTCACCAGACTCGAGTACTAAATGTGCATATTTGCTACTGAATTCCCATGTCCGCAGCTTTTTGTGTAGTTTAGAGGGGCGAGTCGTACCAGCGTAATTAAATGTCAAATTATGCAAAATGCGCGAATGGTTGGCAGGTCTGATGTTAGTGAAAGTGTGGCGTAGATCTGTCAGGCTTTTCTAATCCTAGAGTTTCACCGTCTATTTTCTAACAGAAGCTAAAGCAGTAGATAGGTGTAGGAGACTATTTTCATGTTCAGCCTGCATGAAACACTTAGAGCGACCAACTATAATCAGAAATAATCATTAAAAATATTTTTTCCAGTGTCCCACACCTTTATAATTATTGGGTAACTGATTTTTTTATTTAGTTTAAGCTCCACAATACCTAATGCAGCCAAAAACAACAATTATCCATTTACATAAAAACATCTGATCAATAAATGTCTCAAAGCAGACTGAGAGAAAAAAATCTGAGATTATTTAATTTGGTTTTCACAAGAAGCTAGTTAATTTTACATGAATAGAGATATTTTCAAATAAGCTTTTCACAATTTAAAAACTCAATCACAAGCAAACATACCTTTAAAATCACGATAGTATTCAATGTTTCTTCCAAATGCCTCCATTGCAATGTCTGATCCATGCTTCCACACAACGCTGTTGATGATTCCATTAACAGGGCCAGGGCTCAGGTCTACAGTACCACCCACGACTCTGTAAAAAGGCTGTGCTGCAAAAACAAAGCATTATAAATATTAGGGGTTGAGGCATAAGTAGACCAAAGCATAGGTGGGCCAATGTGTTGGGACTATATTTACCATTTCATACACTGAACAAAAATATAAATGCAGCACTTTTGTTTTGCTCTCATTTTTAATGATCTGAACTGAAACATCTGAAAACTTGTCTACATACATTAAACACCCATGACTCTCAAATATTGTTCTGAAATCTGTCTACATGTGTGTTAATGAACACTTTTCCTTTACCAAGATAACCCATCCCACCTCACAGGTGTGGCATATCAAGGGACTGATTAGACAGCATGAATAATGTACAGGTGTGCGTTACACTGCCCACAATAAAAGGACACCCTGAAATGTGCATATTTTTGCTTTATAGGGGTAGTGGGGCAGAAAACCATTCAGTATCTGGTGTGGTCACCATTTGCCTCACGCAGAGCAACACATCTTTGTCGCATAAAGTTGATCAGGTTGTTGATTGTGGCCTGTGGGATGTTGGTCCACTCCTCTTCAATAGCTGTGTGAAGTTGCTGAATATTGGCAAGAAGTGGAACACGCTGTCGATCCAGAGCATCCCAAACATGCTCAATGGGTGACATGTCTGGTGAGTAGGGTTGGGCATCGAGAATCGATTGGAATCGGGACCACCTGTCAGTTTTTCCCGGAATCGTTCAAAGTTTTTTATTTCAATTCCTGGTATGCCGACCGGAAGAGGAATCCATGGCCTATCTCCGTGAAAAATAAACGTGATCTGCAAATTTTGATCCACGCTTTTCAGAGCTGATCACGCCAGCTGTCTGTCGCTCCTACTCTGCTGCCTGCAGAGAGCCCGCTTGCAGCCTTTCTCTGTGGTGGACCACACCGGGTTCTGACACTAGGATACGATAAAAACAATAAATAATCATAAAAATGATCAATGAATAAATCTTTGTGTGTTGTGAGATTTTTTATTTGCTTGTTGAACTATGTAGTCTGTTCAGAGTTTTAACGGTTTAAATCTGTTAGGTTGTTACTGACAGCAGCTACATTTAAGTTTCAGTTTCTCTTCTGACCGAATCACTGCTGCAACATGTAGGTGTAGGTTCTCAGTCATCCTAGATATCATCCTGATGGTTTTAATTAAAAACAGCTGGACTTTTCTGGTTATGTTGGAGACATTTGGTCTCTCATCCCAGTCTTCTTCCAGACTTTGATTGTGGTCAGAAACAAACACACCGATTGTGCTGAAAGTCTTTTTCTTTCTTTCTCAAAAACATGTTTTTGTCTAAATGAAAGTGGTGTTATTGTTCATAGAGTTAAAATTCATATTGAAGTTGTTTCATCAAGTAGGACCTGTGGTTAGCTGGCACATTTAAAACATGTAATGTCGAAAGAATCAGAATCGAGAATCGATTGGAACTGGAATCGAAACGAGGAATTGGAATCGAAATCATTCAAATTCAAACGATGCCCAACCCTACTGGTGACTATGCTGGCCACGCAAGTTGTGGATGATTGGCACAACAATGGGCCTCAAGATCTCATCACGGTATCTCTGCACATTCAAAATGCCATCAATAAAATGCACCTGTGCTTGTTGTCCACAACATACACCTGCCCATATCAGTACCCCAACACCACCATGGGCCACTTGTTCCACAACGTTGACATAAGCAAACCGCTCACCTACACGCCGCCAGACAAGCAGTCTGCTATCTGTCTTAAACAGTGAAAACCGGGACTCATCTGTGAACAGAACACAACGTGTCAAACACCATTGAATGTGAGTGTTTGTCCACTCAAGTTCGTTACGACGACAGACTGCAGTCAGGTCCAGACCCCGATGAGGACAACGAGCATGCAGATGAGCTTCCCTGAGATGGTTTCTGACAAACTGTGCAGAAATTCTCCAGGGTATATACAGCAATCCTTAAGTAAAATTTACTACTTTTTATTACTTTTTTTTACTACCTTCAGAATTTTTTTAAAACCATCACAACACTAAATTAAAAAGGGTTAATCAGCGACCTATTTACACATATTTTAACATATATAACATACAAAAAGAATAGACTTAGAGACTCACTGATGCTGACAATGTATTGCACATATTTATTTTACTTAGAAAATAAGCCAGGCACTTCTGTTCAGCGGTTCAGACAGTTGACCACAAGGCCTGAAATGATGCACAACGACCACTGAATATGACGTCATCATTATGTGACCGGATATGCTAAAGTAGGGCTGCTCGATTATGGCGAAAACAATAATCACGATTATTGTGACTGAAATTGAGATCTCGATTATTTAAGATGATTTTTCAATTTATGTAGATTTTTTGTTGTTTTTATTCAGTCATAAAACTGCTCAGGGCACAATCAGGACAAAAATAAACAAGAAACAAGATGATCACTAAAATAACTCCTGATTCCCAGTATAAAAAGACCAATATACTTATAGCAAATGACCCAAGGGCTATAGACCTTGGTTTAACTCATTTAAGTCTAACCAGTACAGACCCAAATACCAATATCTTGCAAATACTGACAGCAAGAATTATACAGTGGCATTTATAACAAATACATGCAAATTGCTGTTCACTAAATGTTGCATAACATTTATTGAGTCGTGTCAAGGTGCTGTAGGAGAGTGCACTAGCACCATGTCCTCAGAGAGATTAGTTATTTATCAGCGTGAGGAACTTATTTCTACCTTATTTATAAACTATTTATTTACAAGTCCATCAGTTAATGTAATAATTGTCCCAACCACAGCTGCACCCCCACCCCCCAACCCGGTCTCACAGCAATCAGGGGCACGCTGCACGTGTGTTTAGCACGCCGCACGCGCACATTTAGCCGTTTTTATCGGCTCAGGAGTCCGCAGGTACGGTGTGTGTTTCACTCAATCTGGTTAATCCAACAAGGAGCTGGCTCCGAGAGCCGTTTCTTTAGCGACTGACACATCACTGCACCATTCCCTTTCCTAATGTCCTGAAGAACGGTCCGGAGCGCAGGCGGAGTGTTTAGCTAACCTGCAGGAAACGTCAACGACAGTTATCCAGAAAGTAGCTAAGGGTTACCAGAGATGTTTGAGGCGTTCGCTAGGTACTTTTAAGATTTAAAAAGTCAAGAAGGGGGTCTAAGAAGCTGTTAGAAATAGCGTCAAAGTTGCCAGGTTGGCAACACTGTGGAGGAGCGCTTCATGTGCAACTCAGGGCAGTGCAAGTGGGAGGAGCAAATAATCGGCTTGTTTTATTTTTATAATCGTTCAAAACATTTCATTCGGAATATATTTCTATGTCGATGTTCAGAATACAACATCTGATAGTCTGAAAAAATAATACCTAATTTGGAAAAAATAATACCTCTGAGACCAAATTTAACACTTTTAATGGCCTTAAATTTGACTATTTTTATTTATCACTTTTTAATACTTTTTAAAACCCCGCGGACACCCTGTTCTCTAGTTATGCAAACCAATTGTTGCTGCAGCTGTCTGGGTGGCTAGTCTCAGGTGATCCTGGAGGTGAACATGCTGGATGTTAAGGTCCTGTGCTGGTTTGGTCACATGTGGTCTACAGTCTGCGGTTGGATGTACAGCCAATTTCTCTGAAACGCCTTCGGAGACGGCTTACGGTAGAGAAATAAACATTCATTTCATAGGCAACAGCTCTGGTAGACATTCCTACAGTCAGCATGCCAATTGCATGCTCCCTCAAAGGTTGTGACATCTGTGGTGTTGTGCTGTTTGATTAAACTGCACATTTCAGGATGTCCTTTTATTGTGGGCAGTCTAAGGCACACCTGTACATTATTCATGCTGTCTAATCAGCCCCTTGATATGCCACACCTGTGAGGTGGGATGGATTATCTTGGCAGGGTTTCCCCCAGAAAATAAGTTGAGCCTGGCGGATTCGGCCGTCGGGGGCTGGGGTCGCGCGCTCCTTCCCGCAGTGCACCTCCATGAGAGCGGCGGGGTGGGGTGGGTGGGGTGGGGGTGGGGGTGGAGGCTTGCAAACGCTCTGCTGCTGTTTCTCACCAGTATCAGCTGATGGAGGGCTCTAGTTTCGTTGCGCCGTTCATGTCGGTGGACACAGTAGGGGCGGGGAGAGGGGCGGGGCATGATGCTTAGCCTGGCGGATGGCCAAGCAAAGCCTGGCGAGCCGCCAGGCTTTTAAAGCGCTGGGGAAAACCCTGCTTGGTAAAGGAAAAGTGCTCACTAACACATGTAGACAGATTTCAGAACAAAATTTGAGAGTCATGGGTGTTTTGAGTGTAGAAAGTTTCAGATGTTTGAGTTTCCACAAAAGTGTTGCGTTTATATTTTTGTTTAGTGTATATATCGGCCTTGGCCGATGGACATCTTTAGTACAGCTGATTTAAAGTCAGCCACATTTGCAGGCAGCTCAGTGCTGCTGCTGAATATTATTTAAATTGCCATCTTAGCTGGGTCTCAATTTGCCCCCAGTGCATTGATTTCTACTGAGGAAGGTTTTTACCCAGCTAAAAACACATTTTATCAAGCTTTTTCACATAGAGTAGAAGGTGTCACTGCTCGTCTGGGAAAGGTGCTGGATCAAAAAGTGGAATAAACTAAATAAGAATCCGCACACTTCAATCTGCGATTGACAAATACACTCCTACATTGCAGATTGAAGTGTGCGGATTCTTATTTAATCAAGCTTTTTTACAAAATCAGACACATGGTATGGCATGACAATTAAAATATAAATATAATTAAGCAAAATAATTTGAGTTAAATAAAATATAAAATCCCATCGGGTAGGCTAGAAAAGTCAATAGTAATCCCACATTATCTGTTTTCAATAGTACGTCAGTTGTCAACCACAGACATATATATTGATAAACCCCCTATTGGCCACTTGGGGGCATGAAATGCTGTTACACTATTAGATCAGTCGAGCTTCCAGCAGACACAAACCATAACAGCAGTAGTGAACGAGAGGCCTGAGCTCTGTGTGGATTTGTATCCACCAGCAGCACCACCTAGTCGGCTAACGTTAGCTACATGTTTACTGCTGCTGTCTCCCTGAGACGTTATAGATTCAGTTAAAATCCTCCGCTAGATATTTAAACTTTAGTAGAGATGCTTTTGGTTGTTTTTAATCCCAATGGACACTGAGATGGAAATGAAAGAGAAAGAAGGGAGAACAAAGGAAGAGATGGGAGGAGGATTCACAAAATAAACAAAAAGGGATGTATAAGAATTTGCTTCTTGATCTGCATAAAGGAAGAGAAAAAGGGGTGGCACACAAAAATACAACAGAACCAGAATTTCACTAAGCAGTCAGTTCTGATGGATGGTTTGTCATGTTGTCATCCAGACTTTTTTCTAGTTGTTCTTTTTCACCCTCTCTTTGAATTATATTCACATTATATGTATGAGTTACACAAACACTCATTTATTTTAATTGTTGTAAGAATTGTTTTGTATACATTATTAAATTGGCTGAGTAAATATACTTTCTGCCTCTCTATCACATATTAAGTGTGTTTTAAAAAATACTTACCATAAATCTCACTCATCTGTTATATGACTCTTTAGAAATTATTTTGATTCTCATTGTTTGACTGATTTTTAGTGATTGATAGTTTTTTCTATAAGTTTTGACTCTGAACTCTGGAAAAAGTCACATGTACCCACAGCAAACCCACTATGAATAAAAACGCTAAAACATGTATCCTGTGTCAAAGCTACATGTGTGAATTCGCAAGGAATTTGCAAAGAAACGCCGCATTAAAATGGGTTCGGTATCCAAGGAGTTATGGTTGATTAAACATGCTGACACTTCAATGCCTGTCAAAGGGGAGAGGGGCTCGACCGATCCAAGATGGCGGCGCCACCGCTCATAGGCAATAGCTGTTATACTTTAGCATACTCTAGCGCCCAATGGGTCTATCACAGCTACGCCACTCAGAGGAAAATACAAAACAAATCTCAAGAAAAAGGTAGAAAGATATTTACGGATTAATAAGCAAATGTTGACAAAAAGTAAAAACATTTCCATAGTAAAGATACAACGTTGACACATCTCAACGATATTCCTAGATTCAAGTTCAAGTCAACAGCAACAAGAAACCTTAAAAAGACTTTGAAATTAATTATAGTTATGTTTCTGTTTGATTTCCAACCAATATTACAACATAATATACGTTGGTATTTTCTATGCATACATGTACTTGAGAAGTAGTAAACTAAAACGTTTAAACTTACCGGAAATGTATGCGCTATGCAAACAAACCCCAACAACCACTACGATGACTCCTGTGTTAAAAATGTGAAACATTCTGGGTATAAAACCAAAGTTTAGCCACTAATATCTGTCAGAAACATCTCTAGTGTGAGTTAGCTGAATGAAAAACTACGAAATGGGTTTAGATTAATAAAATCTAAATGGGATAGCGACACAGAAATCTCCATGAACCAGGAAGTCTAAATCAGTTCAGTCAGCGAGGGTGCGGCAAAAAAAAGTGACGCAGTTATATAAAAAAAATTTAACTGATCTTCCCAGATTAGGGTATACTAACAGAACGTAGTTGGCATAAAATATGTTTCCATATTTTGTTTTTCATTTTATAAGTTATGTTCACCTGATGATGAGTTCAATGTCAGTAGTAGAATTCCCCTCGATGAGGACGTGCTGCTGGGGTTTGTGTATATATCGATGGGGTTGAAAAGCGTAAATGTTGGTAAATTTACGTTATCGGGTTGGATTGTTTAGTGACAGTCAGCCTGGTTAAGAAACACATTAAAATGTGACCGGCGAGAGGTGGTGACGTCACACCTGGCTGCATGGTGCCGCAGTGGTTAGCACTGTTGTCTCGCAGCACAAAGGTTGCGGCCTTTCTGCGTGGAGTTGCGTGTTCTCCCTATGCATGGTGGGTTTCCTCCGGTTTCACCCACAGATCACAACATGCCCTATAGGTTAATTGTATGTCACTTAAAAGCGTCTGCCAAATACATAAACACCCAGAAAGCTCTTCCCTCTCATGTACATTTCAACTAGTTTTACGACAAAGGACATTTTCTCTTAGCCTGCAAAGCCATCCATTTGCTTCTCTCTCTAGGCTACATTTTTCTATTATTTTAAATCAACGCAAGCCAGTTTCATCCCTCAAATTCAACCGTAATCATAATAAGTGTTAAATATTTCTGTTTTTACCCCCCAAACTCAGTTTTTTTCCTTCTAATCATTAAGAATATACTTTCGATCTGATCACAACTCATTGTAGATCTTGCTTTAATGGGGAAAAAAAGAAATCATTAAATCTTAATAACTATTGTCTTTATTCTCATGGTTTTACAAATATGATACTTCTGCGATTCAACTGTAACCTGTGCAACACAATGGCATTATGGACTGTTAAACTGGACCCGAGGCTGGGACGTCTGACTTCAGGAGGTCGTGAATCCTGCAGACCAAAGGCCTTACATGTAGATTTAAGTGTCTTCCATAGTGTTTATTATTATTCTGCAGCTGATCCCAGCTCTTGTTCTTCCGCAGGATTCACTAGCAGCTTTACATGGAATATCCCACCAGTAGGAACGCCTTGGATGTGAGCTTCAAGTGGTTCAGTCTCTTTGGACGATGGTCAAAGCTGCAGGGCTGCTTGTTTTTAAAAATGGGTGATCTTGCCAGGAAATGGTTTTCCATTTCATTTTTGGGACACCGGTACAGATAAGAACAATGGCATGCACGACTCACATACAGACCCACTTATTTCTTTTTTTTTCTTCAGTAGAAAATCAAGATTCTGAGAAGAGGACAAGCATGAGCCCTGGGGAACACCCAAGCGCATCTGAACTATATGAAGAACGAATGAAGATTCTTTTTCATTAACATTATTATTCTTAGCACGGGGGCTTGCAACAGTTAAAACCATTTCAACACAACACCGGGCTTCTTTTCATATTCAACAAGTCCCATTGTGAGGACATAACACATCTCACAGTTATAATATTTCTTCTTCTACACCTTTTTATTACAAATGTATGTGCTTTTGAATTAAAACTCAGAAAACTTTAAATCCACATTTCCACTCCACTCCACCCCACTCTGGTCTGGTTTATTGCAAATGAAGTGAACCTCTGAACAGCAACACACACTTCAATATGGCACAAGCGTCTTAGAAATGACCTAAATGCGTCTGTGTCGCGGGTGAATGTCAAAACCACACCGAATCCCAAACGATAAAGACGGTAATCATCAGTAAAGTTACAAAGAAAAGTGTTTTGTCCTCGCAACATGCAGCCTGCCTAATTACGGTATTGGTCTGATTGAGTTGTTGCATTTTTTTATATTCTATTGTTTTTTTTACTCTTGAGGGCTGGATGACGATTCCTTCACCTAAAAAATTGCACACCGACTTCATATAAACTGCACAAAAAAAGCAAAAACCTTACTGTAAAGCACCCTGGAGCGTTCTCGTTAGCTTTGTTTGATGTGCTCGTCTGACCCAGCTTTGGCACCATCCCTGAGGTACCCAACTGGAACTCCACCCCCTCCACCCCCACTGAGGATACTGTTGTCTCTGTAGTGTTGTTGAAGGCATTTTCCTCCAGCCCTTTACTCCGACGCTGAATACCGCCACTGGCTAGCGGCGGACTGCTCGACGTTAATCCAACTACAAATAAATATGGTTTCAAATAAGGGCAAACTGGTAAAATAGAACAGAAATGAAAAGATGTAGTGGCTCCGTAACGCAACACAAAACTCTCAAAGAAAACAAATCCATCACCGTCCGCTCCTCCTTGGTCAGGGAGACAAAGTAACGTAACAAGGAAGGATATATCTAAAGCAGTGGTGGTTGTACAATGGCGACAGGGTGACGTCAGTTTGTCAAGTCCTTTAAAACTGCTTCCCTCCATCTCTCCGCTCGGAGGTGACCATGCTCTGTCTGATCCAAGTCTGAGACCTTTAACCTTTGGCTCCTGCCCATCCCACGTCCCTCCCCCTCCCCCGCTCGGAGGAGGGTTGGTTTCAGTCGGCGTAGTGCATGATGGACTCCACGTAGTTGCCGGGGAAGAGGCCCGTGGTCCCGTTCATCACGCCCTCGAACCAACCGTCGTCGTTCTTCTTGATCACGTAAATGATGGCGCCCTCTTGGAAAGAAAGCTCGTCTTCTTTGTCGCGGGAATAGTCGTAAATGGCCACCACTGGGGAGGGAAGAACATGGCAAAAGAATTAGCCACGCCAATCGGAGGTTTGTGCTTTATTAAGCGTTTCTATGCAAAAGTAAATCCTATGGTATCAGTTAGCAGAGAACTGAGGAGCTAATGGCTACTTCGAGTGCAATCAGATTAATTCTGGTCAAAAAATTGATCAAATTTCACTAAAATGACAGCAGTCAGTAGAAATTCTACTTCAGATCATTTACATAGCTGTCAACGTAACATTACATAGTTGTTCAGACAGAAATATTCAGAAGTTGCTGATAGATTTGACCTCTGGATGCACCAGAAGTGCTACAATTTGCTGATTATTATGTTAACATGTGACAATAAACAGCATTCCAGACTTTTTCTTCCTCTTTTATCTACAGTGTTCTTTCATTTCAATATTTTTAATATAAGAACTGCTTTTTTGTGTCAAAGCCACAGTGGATTGGATTGGACTCCCTGTGGAGATACGACTGACTCTTTTCAACGAATCAAAAATTCACATATTGCATCTTCTTGCATCTGTAATCGTTTTTGAGTTTGGCCGTTTCTATTAGTTCGTTTCGGCTTACGCCACTGACAGTCTTGCTATCTCTTATTGTTTCGGTGTTTCAAAGGAGGACCCCCTTGAGAACGGGACGATGCATCTCAAGGGGTTTCATCCTCTAGAAATGTAGGTAAATAAATATTCTATTGTTTTTTTCTTTCCAAGCTGCATTTGAACACAAACCTTTCTCCAAGTAGCTCCGCGGGGCCCAGGGCGGATCCTCCTCCGCGTAAGGGTCGGTGTACTCCACAACCGCAGACTCTTCCTCATCCTCCTCGTCCTCGTAGTCCTCTGGCGGCGGTGGAGGAGGTGCAGGCTCCTCAAACACCGGCTCGCTGACAGGCGGAGGTGGGGGCGGCACGTCTGAGACTACGAGATGTTTTCAAGCGATTACGAAGATTAAGGGGGGGGGGGGGAAACACAATAAGAGAATAGAGGTGCACATATTTGAGAAACACTTTCATGCATTTCAAATAAAGCATGCAACCATCAGTTAACCATGCAACAACGGTGAATATTTACAGGCGATGGAAAATAAACCCAGAGCAACAAACAGCATGCTTCCTACTGAGTTTTATTTTGCCAACCACCAACATCTGCTGCTTCAGGAGCCGCTTGGTTTATGCTTGACGCATTCCGCGCGGTTATGCGGCTCGTGGATGGAACGCGCTTCATAACTCGCAGCGTTTATGGTTCATGCGGCTTGTCTCTGCGGTGAGCCAATATTCTCCCAAACTGTAGAGGGCAGCATGGAGCTCTACAGCACACATCCAACACTACACCATAGTAGAAGTAGAAATTACTGTTTACAACATGGCATTCCAGCGTTTTTTAACAGCGTCCTCATCTTTTCCGACAGTGCGAGCTATTTCTCCAAGAATTATTAACAACATGTTGATCACGGTGATCTCTGAGAGCTGAATCATACAAATGTCTGTATTTACGAACCTCTGCCATACTAGTTCTTGCCAGTCCGCCATGTTTTTCCGCGTCCGACCATCCGCGCGGTTAGAAAATTTCCTAGGTGTGCGGTGCGCAAAGTTTGGGCCGTGCGGAGGCGTGGTGGGGGGCGTGGTTGTTACAATTACGCAATTTTGCCACGCGGAGCCGTGCGGACCTCGCGAACGCGTCAAGCATAAACCAAGAGCTTGTCATTAAACGTGTTGAATGACATCAAATCTAACAGGACATAAAAGTCCTGTTAGATTTTCTTTCTTTATTATCAAGAAGGGAAAAAGTGGCTTCATATGTGTTTTTTAGCACAAAATGCTTTTAAAACCATACTTTTATTTTGAAATCTAACTCATTATCAATTTTACTGACAAAATTGTAAGTTTCTGAAACTAAAAAAAATAATCGCATTTTGGCTTAAGAATAGGAACCATGACTTGACTTATTGAATAATCAAAAATAATGATGGATTTGTAATAGCTTTCACTTTTCCTGGAGGCAGCAGCTCATGTTGGTGGCTGGAGAACATCTACAGCGGGGAGGTGAGGTGCATGCAGGGGGGGGGGCAGCTAAAAAGCCACTTACTGGTCTCCTGAACCCGGGCCACAAAGCCCATCAGAGGCAGCTGGGGGGTGATCTGCATGGATGGGGGAGGGGGCGCATGTGGGCCAGCTACCAGCACACGGACCAGACGCCAGAAACACGAGAAGAACGTTAAAACATGGACAAGAGAAAACGACTGGAGAAAAGAGGAAAATAGAGTTTAATTGGAAAAGAACTAAAGGGATAAAAAACATCTGAAGCTCACAGATGTGAGAAATCTAAAGTATTCATCCTAACAGGTGTCTAAAATAAATAAAAACATTTGATCCATTTGGACGAAATGTCTGTCTCAAAATTTAAACAGAATGTAATATTTAATTTGAGAGATTTACACAACCAATATTTAGAAAAACAATCAAAAAGGAAGATCATTAGTTAAATAAAGCATGCAAATTATGATTATTGCGTTTTCTTTAATTTTTACTTGTTCAAACATTATAAAACCCAGATTATAACAGGTTTTTTTCTTAGTTTTGGTCTACAATTTAGTGCTGACATCATATAGAAGAGCCAAAACGGTCAAAATTGAGACTAAAGTTTAAATCTAACAGAAAATAATTAAATGAAAGGTCACAGACTCAATCTGTCAAGCAAAAGGGCAAAATACGGCAGTGATGAAGAAGACCAAAGGCAGAGAGGAAACGACAGGAAAGATTTAATAATACCTAAAAACAAAAAGTCTAATAAGTTTGGTTTAATTGAGCGTTTGATGTAAACGAATAAAAAGATGAGAAGATACTTGAGACGAAAGCTTAGGCTTCATTTTTGTTTTCGTGCGCCACAAAACAACTACTAGAGTTTAAACACATATTATAAACATCAGTTTATGAGCATAAAGAAACATTTTGACAAACACCTAAATAAGTTTAAAACTGGCCGGTAAATAAACAAATATTTGATCATTTAAAGGAAAACATGTGGCTATTACACAATTCGGTGTTCCCGTCCTTCATACTGGAAGCTTCAATCATTTTCCAAACTAAAAACAACTTTTAAAAGTTTTAATGAACATAAGAGAAAATTGAAACGTTTCTGTTAAAACAAAATGACTTCACATTTGTATTACTAGTAAAAAATCTCCCTAACGAGGCTAACTGATCTTTCTAAAGAAGCCAGCTGGTGATCTAACCCTTCTCTGCGTCTGCTGAGCTCTAGACGGCAGTACCTTGGTTCTGAGCCAAGTGTGGGCCTCCGTTCAGCTGGCTCTGGGCCGGGTTGGGCTGACCGGTGACGGACGAGGGTCTGCGGAACGGCAGAGAGCCCCCCACCTGGGAGTTGTGGGGCTGCTGCTGCATGGGCCGGTTCATGCTGAAGAACTGAGGAGCACCTGGGAGAAGACGACAGCAGGGGGCAGCAGAGCACATCTTTTAGCTTTCGCTTCTCCTTCAGCAGTTTGCCTTAGCTGAACATTTCAAAATAAAGGCATGAAAAGGTGTTTCAACATTTCAATATACCAGAACTTTGATTCCAGTGCATTTATTTTTGTTCCTAATTCCACCTAAAGACCTATGTAAACTCATCTTTTAAATCAAATCTTTTTCTTTTAATCTTTTAAATAAAAATACTGAATTAAAGCCAAAAAGCTGCAGAGCAAGACAACCGGCCGATTCGACCTTTAACTCAACATTTCCTGTAACGTTCCCATCAGCCCCACACGTTTAACACCAGCAGTATGCAGCAAAAGGAATGAGGAGCGCAAATAGAGACACGGAAAAACACACAGCATGAATCAGTCGGCTCATGCATCACACATCAGGACAGGACCAGCAGCACGGGCGCCGACGACTGATGAGGGATGACAGGAAGTCTGAGGCAGGTGGCCGAGGAGCTGCGCATTTGTCTGGGTCTGAAAACGGATGATTTAGACACACATGCAGAAATGAAGAAACCTCGTCGAGGGACACGTGACGATTTTTAGACTGGCAGCTAAAAGTGGACGCCGCTGAAACACGCCGACCCCGTTTCATGATCCGTTCTCCTGAGAGTTTCCACTGAAACGGCTCCAGTTGTGTCCCAGTTAAACAGGAAGCTGCTGCTGAGGTTAAATCAAGACAGATGACGAGCGACTATGAGGACAGATGAAGCAGGATGGAGGTGGGGCTGGCGGAGGGGGGGATGGGACGTGCAGGCGTGAGCTCCTCCCATCGGGTCGCACTCACCTTGTGCAGGGTTGCCAAAAGTAACGGGGCTGGTGCCGGTGGGGGCCGTGGAGGCGGGGAGCTGGGGAGGAGGAGGAGGTACAGGCGGGATTTCTACAGGGGGGTTGGGAGCTTGTGGGGGGCCATCTAGCACAGAAGGAGGCCCAGGAGCGGCGGCTGTGTTGGGGGGAGGTTTAGCCGTGTTGGACGGGGCGGGGACTGAACCTGACACATGAAGTGGTAGGGGTGGGGTCAGAGGTCACAAGGGTGAGAAAAGAACAGGTGAGGGGGAGTCCAGACAAGATCAGTGGATCCAGAGAACTCTAGAGCCTGGGTTTGCACCGATCAGTTCGGTTAGTTTCAGAACAACTCAAGAGAAAACACAGGAGTTACCTGGGAAGACTGTGGGCAGGGCCGGGGTTGGCACGGCGATGGGCACGCCCACGCTGCCACTGCCGCTGTTCTCTCGGCTGCTGCTGCGACTGCTGCTGGGGTGGCTGCCTCCGCTGCTCCCACTGCTGGTGACGGGGCGGCAAAGGGCGTCAGAAAACAGAGACACTGTCGCAGATTCACGGTGAGAGCATCAGCTCCTCGACACAACGAGGGTTAGAGCTAAGGCTCCACACAACAAACCCCGGTCCTTCACCTTCAGGAACCACAGGAAGTTAACCAGGAACTCAGACTGGATTTAAATCAGATTTCTTTCATTTAACTTCAGTGGAATGAAACGGCAGAGATCTGACCTTCAGCTGCACGTCTACAGCCTTTTAACTGCCCGATGGGGTCTGAGGTTTCAGAGGGAGGTTCCAAGTTGGAGTTAATGGTTGGTTCTTGAGATCAAATGCATAGAAAAATATGAATTAACTGAATGAGGAGCTGAGATCTTAAGCCTGCCGCATACGAGAGCAAACTCGCGGTGCGTCTGATTTTCAGAGTTTTCCGCCTCACGAGGGGGTAGAAACTCCCCGTGAGCGCACCACTGAGCTGCTGGATGAGCGGAAATATTCTAGTGGCCAATCAAAGCGCGTTCTCTGCTCACATGACCCCAAGATGGCAGCCCCCCGTCTGCATGTCAGAAAATAAACAAAACGGAGACAGAGCTGGAAACGGGAGGAAACGCCTCTACTTTTTTTGTTGATGCGGCGTCGCCGCCACCATCATTTCAAGGTTAGGAGAGTATGGGTACGATGGCTGCCAAGAAGGGCCACGCAAGACGTTTATGGCCAATCGACTCCAAGAGATGCGCCTTGTAGACCCAGAATCCTTCCAACAGCACTGCCGCCTGGATCCTGAACCCTACGAGGGGGTAGTGGAAACAGGGGGCTGCATCTGAATACATCTTGGAATCACGTGACCGGAGAACGCGCTTTGATTGGCCACCAGAATATTTCAGCTCAGCCAGCAGCTCGCGTAGTGCGCACATGACGAGTTTCTACCCCCTGTGAGGCGGAAAATATCAAATCGGTCAGATATTCACCTCAGCATCTCGTGAGGCGGAAAACTCAGTGAGAAGCAGGCGCACACAGCGAGGTATCTGCTGAGCAAACGGTCATTCGAGGCCGTTCGCTCAGCAGATACCTCGCTGTGTGCGGCAGGATTTAGGATTTCAGTAGTTGATGTTGTAGTTGGCCCTTAGATTTAGAACCATGTTTAAGATCTCCGAGTTGGTTTCACTTTCACTAATTTAGGACAAAATACTTTGACATGACTATGAAATCGGATACGCGGGAATGAGATGAGGTCATCGTCTGATCTTCCTGAGGTTTGCACGTTTCTAATCTTCAGTGATGCAGCTAAAGCAGGTCAGAGCACCTCCTAGAGCTGCTTTCTACCCAATTTATAAACACAGTTTTAAATGACGTGTATAAACACTGTTGAACCTTCTGCATCGGCTGCTGTTTATGGATCCTGGTTACTTGTAGCTGCTGATCTTGGCAGTGTTTAACAAAAAACAATCAGATCAATAAAGAGCGTTCACAAGATACAACTGTTGTTTAAAACGATGTTTATAAACTATATCAGGGACACAGGATAAATGGGGCAAGGTGTTCCTGCTCTGTGATTCAGTCATTTTGAAACACAAAATTAAGGTTTTTTACAGTATTTTGCATGTGTCCGAATTCAGGTGCGATTAGTCGACTTACCCGATTCCACGTGGAACAGATCCTCTCTCGACCGCTAAAACTGCAACTGAGCAGCTGCGAATTAGGACAATTTAGCCCCCTACCTAAATATGTCCTGTTGCCTAGCAACACATTCTACTATTGTAGAACTGCAGATGAGGGCCACACTAAATTACTACATGGGTCACAAATGGTCCACAGGCCACACTTTGGACACCAGTGACGTACAGCAACTCACAAGCATCGACTTTACCTTAAAATGTGCTCATTAATGAGTCAGACTCAATAATATACATGATAAGCAAACATCTCGTCTCTGATTGGCCAACAGGAACAGCGCCTTCATCGACAAAACTCAGGATACTGTTAAAACGTATTTTCTTGGATAAAAAAAATGCAACGTTGACATTTAATTTCCCCAAACATCCTCAGCCTCAACGTGCTCCACCATGTTGTGGAGTTCCTAACGCTAACTGTTAGCTTCCGCTACTCAAGAGGTGCTCTGCTCTCTCCTGGCATCAAAATCAACACAGCCTTTCGAGGCTGTGAGCCAAGATGGGCGAAGCCACGAATGCTACATTTTCCCTGTGACGAAGAAGAGGCTGCCTTTTTCTGACCGTCCATTTTCTTGTAACAGCCAGTGCCAGGCAATGGAGGTTCAATACAATTATTTACGTTAAGCGTGCACGCATCTCAGTGTGACCAGTCACGTTTTAAAAAGAACAAGTATAAAGCCGGGCGGACACTGTGCGACTTTTTCACTTTTTTGAGCCGATTTTCTACTCGTGCGAGAATCCACGACATCGGGGCGAGTTTTGCGCCGAGCGTCGTGTAGTGTACAGGGGGTTACGAGAGGCGATTAACACCATGTGACCAGCTACCGATCAGCAGTCGTGAGCTTGCACGGACTTCTGGCGTGTTTGATATTGTGCTCGTCCCTCGTGAGGGTATCGCACTGTTGAAGCGGCGCTGCAAGCAGCTGCGACCCAAAAAGTATCAGAACAGCTCACGGCGCATGCGCAATCCTGCATCAACACCGCTCGCCCGCTATTTCCCTAATAACACACGCTGTTCGTTTTTATTTCTACACGTTTTTTTTTACTCACAAAGATTGTCAAGAAAGCGTGTTTGTCATGTTCATGTCAAATTAAACTGATCACAAAACACAGATTTACTTTCTTTATTTTGTTTTTCTCATCCAACCCCCATAAATCCCTGTGTCCTCCTGCAGCACTCCCGAAGGACAACAGGCAAGACAAGATAAAAAAGTCTGACGTGTTGTGTAAAAACTATTTTTAGCATATTTTTAGGGCCGACATGTTGCTACCAGACGTACAGTGTGAGCAGTCAGGTCGCATCCGAGAACTGGGTCGTGCAGTGTGAGCACATGACTCGTGAGATCTGCTCTGCAAGGAAGCCGTACAGTTTGAGCTGAAGCTGAGTGCTACGAGTGAAAAAGTCACACAGCGTCAGCCCGGCTTTACAAGGTTTCTCAGTCCATCTCTTTAGTATAGCAAAAACACACTCTGATTGTGGCTTTACTCAGACTAACCATTAGCATATCAGTCCTTGGAGATGTAAAGCATTTCTCTTAACAGAGGCAATGGGTGACCAACTTCAAAACTCCCTAATTATCTTCTCAGCTCTGACAAAAACAGTAGAGCACAGTAAAACAAATGTCAGCATCAAAAGAAAAACTTGAAATTATTTCCAAAAATTTGATTAAATGTTGTTTTAATTCCAGCTCGGGAAAACTACAGGAAAAAATACATTTACTCAAATAGATAACAGGCCCTGAGATGGTTCCTGAAAACACCCCATTCACTCTTCCTGATCCACCTCACACCACAGCAAAAGTTCAGGTGTTAAAGTCGGTTTGTCTCCTCGCTGAGTCGGTTTATCAAAGCGACACCCTCAAGGGCGCGAGCCTGTGAAACGACTCAGTCACAGAGAGAAACACAAGCAGCTGGAAGCCTGAAGGAGGACAGACGCAGACACAGACATGACACGGAGCGAGAGCAGGAAGCATCTGCACATGTGAGGAAGAGGATGAGCGCTGGATGGAGCAGAGCAGGCTGAGCAGAGGGGAGAGTAGGGGGAAGTTTTAATCACGGAGTAGCAGGCAGGTGAGGGGGGTAAATAAAAGCCGTCTTGGTTTCATGATTTTCCTCTAAAAAGAGACAGAGGAGAAAGAGTAAAGCTCAGAGACGAGATGACACTGTGTTGACAGGACTGAGGGGGCGGCGCTGCCTCTGTGATGACTGTCGCCATGGGAACCTGCATCGAGCAGAGCTAAAACAGCTCCCAAACTCCACCTTGACCTAAATTCTGCTGAACTCCCTGAGAGCTCAAAAAAAAAAAGTAATGCTTGGATTTTAAAAGAAAAAGAGGAAAATTAGTTTTATTTTAGAGGAAGAGAAGAAGAAATCATTTCAGAAGCTGCTTCGCGTTTAAGTGCAAGAGAGGTAAGAGAGAGGAGGAAACAAAGGGGGCTTGTTCATGTACAGAGGCATGCTGGGAAGTGGGAGGGGGTACCTGTACGTGCGGTTCCTCTGATTAACAGATGCAGTGCGAGCAGGGCTCTGCTGGGGGGGCGCCATGTTGCGCGTCGGGCTCGAGACGTAGTCGTTAGGGACAACGGGAGGACGCACCGGCTCGAGCGTCCGATAGGGGGAGTGGCGCCTGCGAGAGGAGTCCAGGGGGTGGAGGAGGAAAGAGGGAGGGTGCATCCAACAGGGAAGTGTTTGGGAGGAGAAGGGGAGGAGAGCAAAAAAAAAAACAAAAAAAACAAGTGCAAACTTAAAAAATGGTGAATGACAGGAGGTGAACATCGGGACAGACTGTGATTAACAGGTGATGCTGGAGGGAAACAAATGGCTGCTGTGGGCTGAAAAACGCACTTCTGTTCCACAAACACATTTCTATCCGAAACACTCATTAAACAGAATCGTCTGATCATTACTGATCCCATTTATTCATCTAGAACACTAAACAGAGAACGGAAGAGCTGGTCCTCGTTCGGCACGACCTCGACTCCTCCTCAGCGAAACAATGGATGATGTTTTTGCCTGTGCTCATCCGTGAAACTAATTTAAGGATTTAAAGGAAGGACGGGAGTTCCCCCCAAGCCACACCTTCAGAATACATGAACGCCAGAGTTCGTCCTCGAGGCTTCAGATTTACCTTTCCGACCTTTTGTTTACAATATTTCAGCCAGAATTCCTAGCGTAACACAGCTACGTGACCGCATAACTATTTGGTATGCTAGCTTATATAGCTTGGTACTTTTATGGCCAAAATCAACCAGATTCAAAATGGCCACCACTGCTAATTAATTTTAGCAAATGCAAAACTGACTATAAATCAGTCAGAATATTATAGTATTGATTTTAGCTACAAACGTCACCAGTAACTCCACATCCCGGTGACATCATCACCACTGGGGCAAAAACCTCGCGTCACACAAAAAACAAACCTCTACTTTCCCAAACAACAAACGGCGGCGCGCTCACTAGTTTCAGCTTTTTGTCACTCTCCTTCCTCGTAGATCCACTAATAAATGCTCAAAAACATGAACACAAGGTTAGGCTGAGACCTTCTTCAAAAGGGTTTTCAGGTAGAGGAAGCATTGAACTCTCATCAACTAAACATGGACTTGAGCAAATCCAACATTATAGATTTGTTGTACCTAAAAAAAAAAAGTCAGAAACCTGCTGATTTGTTAACTCCAACAAGAATAAGAGTGTTTTTAAAGCCAACAGCAGCCTCGGTTGGTAACACGAGGAGAAGCACAGAACCCTGCAGAGATGTGCTGCTGCTGCTTCCCAGCATGCTGAGCCATCGCTGAGCTCCGTTGCTATGGTAACATGTTGTGAGGACTATGAGGCAGCCAGAAGTGAGTGAGCTAGGTCTCACACGCACACGCACACGCACACACACACACACACACACACACACACACACGCACACGCACACACACACACACACACACACACACACACACACACACACCTCCAAGGGTTAATACAAGAGATGTAAACACACCTTGACTTCTCATTAACACACAACAAATTTCCATAATTCTCAAGCTGAAAAACTAGCAGCTGTGGGACAAACAGGAGAAACGCTGTCTTACCCAAAAACGTGACAATTTTTATTGATTATTTCTCTTTTAAAACATATTTTTAATCTTTTTTTTTTAAAATCTTTTTCATACTTTGGTTTTTTGTGAAGCACCTTGAGATTTGTATCTGGAGCGGCGCTACATAAAATATCGTTTTCTTTCTTTCTTTAAATGAAAACGTTTACAACATCTGCATCCACGTGTGTTTAGGTTTTGATTAAAATACTAGAAAACTTTAAATCCATTTAAGCTTCCAACTGTTGGCGCTAGATTCTCCTCCTGTTGTGTACCGAGTGGACTTCCACGTCAGCATCTTAACCACAAAACACAATCTCCGCCGAGTCTCCATTTAAATTTAAAACCATTTTCAGAATTATAAAAAAGGCTAATAAAAATAAATAAAATGGTTGAATTCATTCATTTTCATTGACAGGAACTCTCTAAAGTAGGAAAAACTCAGAAGTGTGTCTAGATTTGCTTTCAGCAGCTTCTAGCGTGCAACACGTAGGCATTAATAAAAGATCAGCTGGTGCCGATGTATTTTTAATGCCGACCTGAAACGGGCCCGTAACATCAGCTGTGATGATGACCTGCTGGACTCCGACTGGGAGTGAGACCAGCACAATGAGTCCGTTTCTTTAGTTTATAGCGACGTCTCCGGCAATTCACCTCAACATTTTATCTCCAGTAGATACGAGAAAAATAAATAAATAAATAAATAAAAAACAGACGCCATCGAATTCAGAGCCGACTCGGCGCTCATGCATGAATGCGCCGCTGCAGCTTACATACCCAAGGGTCCCTTTCCCTGACATGGGCGGGCTGGGGGGCTTCTGTGTGGGGGGGTTGGTGCGAGGTAGGCCACCTCCTCCAGCCTTCATGTTCTGGGCGCTGGCCTAGAGGATAAAAACACCAGCTGGTTAACCAAAACTCACCATCACACGTTTTTACTTCTTTAACTGAAATCTGATCTGCAGGTTTCGAGTCTAGCTAACGAGGTTAAAACCAAAATGGGAGAAACTTAAAAAACTTTAAACTGAAGACGAACAAAAGTTTCTCTTATTTCCTAATAAATAAACATTTAAGATGCTGACGTTGTATATTCTTACACAAGAACACATTTTAAAATAGCTTATTAACTCTAGCAAACATAAAAAAGGTTCCTATAACTCAAGGGATGAACCAATTTATAATGAGAAAACCTGTAAAGGCCCCTTAATAATACTTGATATTAAACCACGAGGGGTAGAGTATCATAAACTGAAGATAGCAGCTAATTCACTAAATAAACCACCACCAGTCCACCGTCCATTTCCAGAGTCTTACCTTAAACCTTTGCAACCACTACGGTTGACAAGAAAATGACATTTTTGGAGGCAATGAGAGAAAAAGAGAAGAAATCAGGGGGTTAGTTAGAACAGGAGGAATTCATGCTGGTGCTACAGACAGATTCAGGCAACAATAGATCTTGGTTCAGACCCCAGGAATCTGATCTGGGACTTTTGGGAGGTTGAAGCAAGCGACTCGGTATTCTGAAGGAAAGACAAAATGAACAAAAGCAAGCTGGTCTTTGTTCAGAATGGCAGCGTGAGAGGACCTTTCTAAACACCAGACCCTTGAACTTGTTAAATAATAACAGGAGACTTTTTTTTACCAGCAGGAGGTGACAGACTCTAGATGTTGTTTCCTGGTGAGAAACATCAATGTTTTTTCTCCAATTAAAAATTGCGAAACCCAAAAGTCCTCGTGTGTTGGACCGCCTCAGGTCGGCCGTTTGATTCTCTTACAAAAAATGATCCAATAAACAACCTTTCACACAAAAGAGTGTTTTGATTTCTTCATTTGAATATTTAAATCATAAATATCCTCAGTTTTTTTGTATTCAGAGTAGGGTTGTCACGGTAACCGGTGTAGCGGTAAACCCCGGTAAAAAAGTTGACAATAATAATAACAGTCTTGTTTTTTAAAAACTATATTATCTCGGTGGAGTACCGTGGCTGCGGTGTAGGCGCGGTGACCCTGACCAGCCACCGTATCATCTGCTGAAGTTGCCGGCAGGACATGCGCACTTTGTTGTTTACAACCAAAACTTTCTTGAAGCTAAAGCTGAAATAATGGCTAAAGGAGGAGACGGCAGCGTTCAGGACATTTATTATCCCTCAAAGAAGACAAAGTGGGAAGTACGGGCATCTTTTGGATATTTGAAGAATGCCGAGAGACAGTTGATAGAAGACGGCTATCCTCTTTGCAGCACGTGCAGAAAAAGTGTCTGTGAAAGGCAGCAGCGCTTCAAATCTCATGACACATCTGCGTGACCATCACCCACAACTCTACAGTCAACGATAGGCAAGCTAACGTTAGCGTTTTAGCTAAAATGCGTGATCCGAGGATTTGGGTTGAGGGAGAATGCAACGAGTCGCTATATAAAGCAGCCGCAGCACCGCTACCTGCATATAAACCGTGTCGCGGACAACCCAATGTTGAAATTACGCTATGCATTACGGGTCTCCCAGGGGCAGATGAGAGTTGGTCTCTCTCCGAGAATAATTATGAATTTAACAATGATTACCGCCTGATGACATTTTCCCCACATCTGCAAAGCTCACTGGAAGGACACAAACCGAGGACAATGTTTTCCTGATATAGGGTTTATTACTCAAGTAAGGGTTAAAAAAAGTATCTGATTAGAAGTAGGGTTGTCACGGTAACCGGTATAGCGGTAAACCCCGGTAAAAAAGTTGACAATAAAAATAACCGTCCAGTTTTTAAAAAACTAAATTATCTCGGTGGGTTTACCGTGGCCGCGGTTTCGGCGCGATGACCCTTACCAGCCACCGTCGCTTCAGCTGAAGTTCCCGCGGCGCGCACTTTTTAGTTTGCAACGGCACCAAAACTTTGAAGCTGAAATAATGGCCGAAGGAGGAGACGGCAGCGCCCAGGACATCCATCAGCCCTCAAAGAAGACTAAATCGGAAGTATGGGCATATTTTGGATTTCTGAAAAATGCTGAGGGACAGTTAATAGAAGACTGCTATCCCGTTTGCAGAACGTGCAGGAAACAAGCGTCTGCAAAAGGCAGCAACACTTCAAATCTAATGGCACATCTGCGTGACCATCACCCACGTCTCCACAGCCAGTGCAAGGTAAGTTAACATTAGCATTTTAGCTTAAATGCATGACGTGAGGACTTTTGGTTGAGGGAGAATGCAACGAGTCACTATATACTGCAGCCGCAGCGTCCTCTGCCAGCATTTAAACCGTGTCACGGACACCCTGTTGCTGGATGAAGCATCTTATTTGTTGATGATGAAGAGAAATATACGATTAGTTCCTTGTCATTGATTTGTTTACTTATTCAATGCCATTTATACTTGAACATTTGGATTTGATTACATAGTGTAGTAGTTATTTTAGTAATTTGTTTAAAGTGGCTATTTATTTTAAATACATATTTTTTAAGGTTGACTTGTACAGCGCTCAAGTCAAGTGTGGACTGGAGTTTTAGATTTTCATTTTGATAATGAAGAAAACAAGTATATGAGAAAACAAGTGGTGTTTCTTTGATTTGTTTACATATTGTTTATGTTTCGAATGATTGGATTTGTATAATTTAAACCTGCACTGACTACTGTAACATGTTCCAGAAAAATAAGCTATTTGTTCCTTTACTTGTGAAAAGTTGCACTTTTGCTAAGGCTTTGTGTTATTTTAGGTTTAATAAACACTGTTAAACCTTTTCAGAACTATTTCAGTTTGTGTAGAACAGGACTATCAATGCTTTCTGAACATATGCAACACCGTTTAAAAAATACCGCGATAATACCGAAAACCGTGATAATTTTGGTCACAATAACCGTGAGGTTAAATTTTCATACCGTGACAACCCTAATTAGAAGGCTACTTGAGTACTGAGTATCATCTGGTCTAATATTTTTAAAATGATGACATCAAACAGACATAAAATAAGAAGTTATGGGCAAATATTGCTATTTTAAAGACTAAAGGGGAAAAATGTAAACAAATAAACAACATAATTACAAAATAACACATTTTAGGCTAAATTTAGACAGAAACCGAGGACAATATTTTCCTGATATACAGGGTTTATTTAGTTGTCTGAAAATGTAGCACGTTTAAAAAAATACCGCGACAATACCGAAAACCGTGATAATTTTGGTCACAATAACCGTGAGGTTAAATTTTCACACCGTGACAACCCTAATTCAGAGATGATAATTGGAGATCAACCGAAATGGGTTTTCCTATAGCCAATGCCGATGTGAGCAGCCAATTTTTTGGCCAATATCTGGATGCTTTCCACCTTATCTGCATCCTAAAACGTCACTGACGAGAGAATGCACAACATGTGTGAACCTGTCTGCAGCACAATTAGACACTCGTTTATTTAGTTTATCAGCAAAAAAAAGTTTATTTGGGGTGACTTGCTCTTTAATCAAATAAATCTACGAACTGACCAAGTCTTTATTATAAAACTGGTAAATAAAAATAAACGTTAGTTGACAAAGTTTTGGAGCGGTTATTAAACAGATGTTTTTCAGGAATCTAAAGAAACATTAAAACTAAATTCAGCAGCAGCACCTGGCTGCCCACAGATGTGCCCGACTTTAAATCTGCTCGATTAAAGAGGTATATCGGCCGATGAGATGTATGAAAAAATGGAAAGTATCGTCCCGATATCACAGTTGACAGGGATGTCCCGTTCCAATATCAAAAGTAATTTGATATCGGCCAAAAAACAGTGTATCGGATTATATCGGACGACATCAAAAATCTCCGATATAAGCGGTCCGTTAAGGTTCACATTTTTGCAACCAACAGTTAAGAAAAAAATTGTTATCTTTTTAATACTTACTGTTATTGGCTCTTGTTCTCCGATTGAGTAGTATCACTTGATCAAGCCTTTTATTCCTTATGAAATAAGTAAAAGTACGTATGATTTGTGCTGATATCGTATCAGATTGATATCGGCATTGGTCAATACTGAAGGCTGCAATATCGGTATCGGAAGTGAAAAAGTTGCATCGGCACATCCCTAACAGTTGATTCCTATAAAGGAATATATTTGAGTTTACCAGTTTTTAAACTACTTATAAACCAAATGATGAGTTTCTTTAGTCTAAGCTGGCACACAACTTAAATTTAACATAGAAAAAAACTCATTTAGACCAAAAAAGACCAAAATATTTCAGTGACTTAGTAGAAAACGGGAGAAAAGGTCATGATGTTGTCCTAACATGCTGTCATACATTTGTGGTACTCTCTTAAAGACCAAGTTCACTGAGAAACTGTTTTTCACTGGTAATTTTTAAAATATGATCGGTCCCTCTGAGTTTAACGTTAAAGCTTAACGGGAAAACAGTCTTCCATTTCCTGCATTAGCCACCGATTAAAAGTAGATGGGAGAAACTCTTGGATTACAGAAGCCATTGATGTTTGCACACCAATCAGTAAATTAGCATTCAGCCATCTTGCCTCGTGACGGGGAAGGCTGTTGATGGTTTAGCGTCCAGGAAACAGAGAACGTCTCGACTAGTAGAAGCTAACCGTTAGCATTAGCAACTCTATAATATGGCTGAACACCTTCAGGCGTGTGTTATTTGTGGAGATAAAACATCAACGTTGCAGATCAAAAGAGTCAGTGGTAGGTTTGTATTACTGTTAGCCAATCAGATGTGAGATGTCTAAATATCAGGAAGTAAGACTCCCATCGTCAGGCTAACTTTTACTACCTGAAAAAGGAGCGCCAGAGCTTGTTTTCCCCAACAGAGATTGACTCACAAGGCATTAATGTATACTAGAGTCTACCGCAAATGTGTTGGAACAAAAGAAGTGAACTTGGTCTTTAATTAAACCAACAACGTGTCGCTAGATGAGACAAGACCAGATTTTCTGGTGTTAGTCATTAAAATATTCCACAGATTTAAACCTAAGCTGAAGGAGCGTGAGCACCTTGACGCCGTGGCCCATGTCGTCCAGCAGGCTGTAGTCGACCGGTTTGCGGATGTAGCGTACGGGCCTCTCGGGGTTAGCCGGGGCGATGATCTTGTGTGTGCGAGACGTGTTCTTGTTAGTGGTGAGGATGCCGATCTCTCGCCGGGCTACTTTCTCTTTGTGGATGTCCACCGTCTGAAAGCGTGAAGAAGAAGCATTTAATTAGCTTCTATCTATATTTACAACAGCATCTCCTACATCTGATACTCCAGCCACGCTCGTTACGGGAAGAATTTTTTGCACTTAAAGGAATAACTCACTCGTTAAAAACAATGTTTTCACCCAGACTGAAGCTTGAGAAGCTGAACTGAATTATTCATGCCTTTGAGGAAGTTTTTTTTTCTTTTTTTTTTACTGACAATACAGCAAAAGGATGCGTTAATGACGGTGGCATAAAAGCTGGGAGAACTCAGGGTAAACACGCGACAGGTGGGATGAAAAGCAGGAGCTTGAGCGTGCTGCACCTGTGAGATGTGGTTGATGGAGGACTCCATGCGGCGGAGCTGCGACGCCTGGATGTCGAGCATCTGCAGCACATTGTTGGCCAGCGTGTTGATCAGGTACGCCACGCTGGCCAGAGACTGAGTGGTGTAGTTCTTGGTCTCCTCCAGAGCCCTCTGCTTGTCTGGAGACTGAACAGGAAGAGACAAAAAGGATTCAAATGAGCGGGAAAAGTACCACGGCGTGTTTGCGGAGATGTACGGGAAAGGAGGAACTAATGAGATTAAAATAAAAAATGTCAAGAAAAAAAACAGAATAAATCAAAATATAAAGAATTTTTTTTTTGAAAAAGTCAAAATGCCAAAATAAAACTTAAATTCTAGACAAATGAAAATACCAGTAAAGTGGTAATTTTCACATACAAGTCTAACCCGGGATTTCCACCAGAATGTGTGTGGCGCGTAACGAAACGGATGCATTTTCCCCGTGAAGTCAGCAGTGCGTCCCTTCCAACCAGGAGCAATTCAGGTGTGAATCGGGAGCAAAAACATTCCACACATTTGGTCACCAAATCACAGAAGAATTGCAAGATCAGGCGTGAATTCGCCAACTCGCGTCATCATAACATAACAATGAGGAGGCATGTGTCCAACACAGCTGTGGTTCATTTTCTGTTCCATTTACCACAGCTATGGAGGTGTTACAGGTACTTTCTTGTATCTGCACATCTTTTATTTTGAAAGTTTCTGGTTGTTTTTCACTGCTTTTGTGTTCGACTTCCTGTCTGGCCTGATCTGAACAGCCGAGCTTGGCGCATTCTGGAAGTGTAATGTTATTTTTCATAACCATTCGCAAAATAACTGTTTTAAATCAGCACTAGCAGGTCAGAGCAATATAACTAAATGCACATGATCAAAACTCAACAAGAAAAACCACCACCAGAGCCTGATTAGTAGCTCTGACAGGTTTCTCCAGCGTTATAAAAAAGGAGCTTTAATGCAGCAGGTGTTGGTGTAAAAGGAGCCTTCAAAGGGGGCTCCTGGAGGCACGGGCCTGTCGACGGGAACATCAAAGGGCAGATGGATCTGAGACGATCCTGCTGGGAAACTTGTGCTCCTTCATCCACGCCGACACCAAACGCATCACAGCCGGCCGTGGTCGATATTCAACACAATGCAAGCAAAAAACACGTAAAATCGACGGGAAAAAGATCATGTCAAATATGGAGCGTGGAGAGCCTTTTGGATTTAAATGAGGCATTTTGAGATATTTTTATTTAACAAAAGGAAAAAAATTGATTCATCTCCTAAAGTGACAGGGTAGTAACATAGCATGTTTCCAGATGCAGCCCAGGGGTTAGGGCGGTGGGATTTTTAACCATCGCTTTAGTAAACGGTCTGTTAATTAACCGGGATAATAAAATGCTTTGGTCACAACCACATCCATCTACAGCAGCATTATTAAACACAGCCCTTTTCTGAGTTTCTGTCGGAGCAAACATTCATAACCTTCAGTAAAACATGTTCATATCCCTCTAATAACACAACTGACTGTTGGTGCCGAGGAGCAGAACGAGACAGGATTCCCCACCAGACCAGCCTAAACGTCGCATTTGTTACTCGAGTCATCGTGGGTGATAATTCCTGATAACTTGATCATCATTAAGGGGTGTGTGTGTGTGTGTGTGTGTGTGTTAATCACAGCAGAAGCACAGAGTCAAACAGGTTATGTAGGAACAGAGATGACCTGCTTCAGCTTGCTGTGATTTAGAAATGAACAATTCAGCTCAGAGCTGAAACCGTCTCCTTGCTGCTGCCAGAGCCTCGTGGTGCTGCTGCACATGAAATCACATCAGGATGTGAAAATGTAGGTCGATATTAAAGGGACGTTATGGAAGTTTGACAGCCAAAACATGTATAGAAATAATAAATTTCTTCTTCATACATTCTCCTTCAATGCCCTGGTCCTGTAGAATGAGCCCTGGCATTTTTACTGTGATTGCCTGTTTTTCTGTAAAATCACAGAGAAAGAGAGCTGCTCGGGTCGAGCAGGCTGCTTCATGCACGTTCACGCTCAGGTAGGGCTGGGCGATATATCGATATTTTTAAAATATCGGTATAATTTTTAAACAAGATATAAGATGACTTTATATCTTTATATCAATATAACTGGTCAAACTGCTATGCTAGCTATTAGCCGCAATGCTAGCGACATGTTGCTCCGTCTGTAAGCGGTTATTACGTGTATTCTCACAAGTTTGCTCTATCTGAGAGCCTCTGGGTGAATGTGCTGCTCTAAACTTTGCATTTAGCGTCCTGGTTTTTAATTATTTGGGGACGTTCAATGCCAACGGAGTTCTGTTTATCCATTCTGCTCGTGCGGAGACGAACCAAACCCCTCACCTCCCCTGTGTAATCGGGAAACATCTACGGATAGTCAGAGTGGCCAAATTACCTCAAACTTATTGTAACAGTTTAACAGTAAACTAGAGGGTTAACGTTTTATTTTGAAGGCGAGCTCAACGGGTGAGAAATGTTGTTCCGGTTCCGTTTTTTTCCGCTCTGGTTAGCTATGCTAGTAAATACTCCGTTACGAGCGATTCTGTTGAAAAAGTTAAGAGTTTGTAAGGCATGGGTTACGGCGACAGAAGCCCGAAAATAATCCCCATAAAAGAGCAACCAGAGACTGAGTCATTACAGTATAATCGCTGATATGAATCAGTACGGTTAGATTCCAGCCAGGTTTGCCCTGATTACTAATAACTCCACTGTGCATGACCCACGTGATCGTAGATGCAATTACATCATCATAAATTTAGCTTAACATGATATATTTTATTTCTCTGGACAATAAATATACGATATGGGCCACCTCTAGATGAAATTTAAATAATTGTACATTAATTATAAATATATAAACAAAAAGTGCCTATGGGACATTTGATACACCTCTAGCTCCCAACTGTGTGTGTGTTAACAGACAGCTGTACCAGTGTTTCTAAAGCTCAAACTGGTAGAGAATAGGCACTAAGGTTAAAGTTTGACAAGAGTCAATACATTTTTATGCATTTTATCTACTGATTTATGTATGTAATTTCTCAAGACAGCTTGAAGTGAGTTAACTTGTAAATATTTTACAGGAGGAAAAATATCTATATATATCGTATATCGGAATTCAGCAAAAAGATATCGAGATATAAGTTTTCGTCCATATCGCCCAGCCCTACGCTCAGGCATAGCCCGTAGCATTTGCTATCCGTAGCTTTAGCAGCAGAGAGCGAGGCAGTGCTAACTCAGCGACTTTGTTGCTGTTCCTAACGCCTAGTGATGAACCTAGCTACATTTCTGAGGACCCTTAGCTACTTTCTTCTAGATATTTCCTGCAAATTAGTGACAAAATAGCCATTTTCGCTCCAAACGGTTCTTAGGATTGACGTTGTTTCAGCTGTCATCAAGGATATAAAAGTTACAGAATGTTACTGGTGCTTTAGCTCACTTAGTAAGATGTCTGACTCTCATGTAGGAGATCTGGTTTCGATTCCGGGTGTGAATAAAGTTTGTAATTTGGAGTTTCTTTTTTACATTAATGATAATTTTTTTACAGTAATAAGACGCCCAAATTTTTATTTGAGACTCGCAGAACGGCATTGAATTCACAGATAAAAAAGATGGGGGTTCAACTTTCCTTTTGGAACAATTTTTCAAGCAAGGGAAGGGAATGATCTGAGCATGCAGGAGGACTGACCCATCATAAACCTTTGTCGGCTGTGCTGAAGAGAAAGGTACAGAACCAAATTATTTAATTAATTAGCTGCGCGTTCTCCTGTCCTCTGTCCTACGGGCCACACACACACACACAGGACTGTCTCAGCTGTTATTTTCATTAAGGAGTGTGCACGTACAGCATGCGCTCCTCGTGCACAAGCCTACTATTGAAGCTGCCGTTACGCTTTTGGCCTGAGGGGGCAATCGCGAGCATAAAAATTCAAAAATCCGTTAAGTCCCTTTAACATCGCTGCTATGTATGATAGCCAATATTACATTAAAATAAGTTAGGATTTAAGACAATAACGCAACACTAAAATATTTTGTGTTCAGATATTGAATCGATATATAAAAGCAGTATATAGATTTTTAATGAGGATGCAAACATTTATTTATAAGGTGCAATTCAAACTCCGACTACTAGGTGGCAGCATGTTAAGTTTAGAAAGTTGGGATTCAGGAAGTCATTCTACAGTTCCTTTGGGCATTACCACAGGAGGAGTGTGATGATACTGATTTCCAACACAATGAATTTTGAATTGACTAAAGAAATCAATGACTAAAAAGGAAGATATATCTTGATAAAGGGGAAGTTTGAAAACCAATTGGTGACATTCCTCAATGTGTATGCTCCTCCTGAAAGTGGGAAAATATTTTATGAAAAGGTTTTTGACCTCATAAAATCAGAAACGGTTGGTGTGTGGAGGAGATTTTAATGTAGTTTTGAATTACGGGTTAGATACTACAAGCACAAAGAGGAACAAAAAACAAAACAGGTACATGAACACAATTGTCAGAAGTGGATATACGGGGATGTATGGCGAGAACTTCATCCAATTGACAGGGATTATACCCATCACTTGGCCCCACACAACATGCACTCCAGAATTGATTATTTTATAATGAGTAAAGGAGATATACACAAAGTAAAGGAATGCAAAATAGGTGTGGCCGATGTGTCAGACCATAGCTCAGTTTATTTAAAAATCCATTTAAACGATAAGAGAAAAAACAAAATATGGGAACTCAATGAAAACATATCGAATGATACTAAACTAATTAAAGAAATAAAAGGGGAAATAATTAGGTATCGAGAGGAAAATGATAATGGGGAGGTCGACCCGACAATCTTGTGGGACGCCCTAGGCAGTGATTAGAGGAAAATTGATTTCCCACACAGCATTTTTGAATGAAGTCAGACTCGAGGCATACAGCGGCAAATAGAAAAACTAAAAGAAATCGAACAACAACATAAGCAGTTAAAAGATCCAGAAATAATGAGCCAGATTAAAGAAGTAAGGATAAAAATAGATGATATATTGTTGAGTGATGTCGAGAAGAAAGCAAGGTTTACAAAACAGACCTTATGAAGGAGGACCTAGAGCTACTAAAGCCATGGCTAGACGTATTAGAAAACAACAAACAATGACTAATATACATAAAATTAGAGACCCTACGACTGACGAAATCCTATATGAACCAGAAGAAATTGAAAAGAGTATTCGAAAAATACTTCAATAATTTATATTCACAACCAGATTCTGTACGTGAGGAACATTTGAGGGGAAATCTCGACAATTTAGATTTACCAACAATAGGCTCTAAACAGAATGCAACATTAAACGCAGAGATTACAACGAAAGAGATTACAGAAGCAATTGGGCGGACACAATCAGGAAAGTCACCAGGAGCTGATGGATTGGGAGCCTCCTTCTACAAACATTCGAAATCCCACCAAAACAGTTCACTGAATGGGACAGATGGATATCGAGGTTCATATGGGGAGGAAAAAAACCTAGTATTAGGTACAAAACTCTGCAGCTTCCAAAAGACAAGGGAGGACTGGCCCTGCCAAGCCTTGGAAGAATATTACTATGCTGCTCAAATTAGACCCTTGACACATTGGTGTAATGTTGAATATATCTCACGATGGAAGAGTATAGAAATGGAACAGACGAACACCGAAGTACGAAACTTGATAGCATATGAAGATCTACGGGGAAAGATAGGGAATCAACTGAATGTCATAACCAAAAATACAACTGAGACATGGAACACGGTTGTTGATGGATATAAACTAGAGAAAGAAACAAGGAAATTGAGTTGGTATGCATTTGATGACAGGTTTAAGCCTGGGATGAATGATAAAGGGTTCGTACAACAGTCAAAAAAAGGGATTACAGCAATATGCACAGTGGTTGAATGAGGTAAGCTGCAGAGTTTTGAAAAGTAATAGATTTGGACTGGACAACAACGAACAATATCGTTACTTACAAATAAAGGATTACTATGTGAAAAAGATTAAAACTGGGACTACTAATGTGATTGTGGAGTTATTCCAGAGAGCATATGAGGGGAAAATGTAGAGTAATTTCAACCCCAATCATTTTATTTCTTAATTACAGGAAAACAAACTGTAAATCAGAATAAATTGAATGTAATTATAAAAATCCTAAATGTTTTAGAAGCAAGCGCATCAACAGAAAATTTGACTTTTCATCATCAGGATCCTGACTGCAAGCTAATCAGAAAAGTAACAAATACAAATTTTATTCTGTTAATTTTTAGCTCTTTGAGATGAATCTGTATCGGCAGGCCAGAGCTGCACGGGCATCACAAATGGGCGTTGACCCTGAAAACCAGAATCGGTGCTTTTTTAGAAAACAAACCTCACACTTCCACGATTTGCTAAGAAAAAACACCCAGTTTTGTTAGTTCATGTGGTGTGAAAATTTTTGATTTGAAACAAAATCAAAACTGACAGTGAGAGAAAAGCTTAGATGCAACAGTCAATAAATAAGTCAATAAATCTGCTAAAAAATGTTGCAGTTAGGATCCGTGAATTCTCACGTTATGGTTGTCAGCTGCTGTTCTCAGACAAGTCCTCCTGCACTCAACAAGAGTAAACAGCTGCATGACGGATGCCTGGTGAAACGCCTCCATGGTGTTCTCCTGACTAATACACCTGTCCAACTGATCGATAGCTGATAACACCTCTAACACCAGTCTGACAGCAGGAAGCAATGCAGCCAGAAATCATCTTCCACAGGACAACCTGCCAGAGCCGATCAGCCCCGCTCATCTGGAAGCTACGATTCCATTATTGCACCTCGGAAAATCCTTTTTCTTTCCACCAACATCTCTGAAGGTCCAGAGCAGGTCTGGGATCAGCGAGCAGTTGCAATCATGAGCTCAATAAGAATATAATTAGGGATGGGTACCTTTGACATTTGAATCGATCCGGTACCAATTCCCGGTACCTAGGAATCGATACCGGTACTTAACGGTACCAATTTTAGATACTGTTGAGTGTTTAATATTTTAATTCTCTTCTATAATTAAATATATATTTTTCTCAATTTTTAACCATATTTGATAAATATCACAATAAATAACATACAACTGTTTGTTTTTTAACATTGTCTTTGTAGTTTTATAAGCTGATAATTAAACTGAAGCAAACATCTTTACTGTGAACTAAATTTACTGTATATCTTCATTCCTTTTGCCGTCCTTTTTCATTTGATTTTTCCTACTGGGAAGTAAGAATTTCTGAGGAGAAAGTGAATGCACCATTAGCTGATAACAACGGTGGCAATGGAAGCTAACATATCAAGCTAACGTTATCTTAAACAGTTTAATTAGCTGCTGGAGCAGATTAAAACGATGATGCCTCACACTTAGATCGTTGCCGCTGGTTTCATCTTCACCCAATCACCAGTCGCATTTAGTAAAGTGAAGACAAACTTTAGAGCGCGTTCATGTTCTTCCAGTCGGAAATTCGGAGTTCCATGGAGAAAGCGAACGCACCATTAGTGAAACGGAAGCTAACATATCAAGCTAACATTATCTTAAACATTTTATTTACCTACCAGAGCAGATTAAGATGAGGATGTCTCACTTAGATCGTTATCGCTGGTTTCGTCATCACCCAGTTACCCATCACATTTAGTGAAGTGGACCCAAGCTTTAGCGTGTGTTCTTTCTGCCATGCTGCTCCGTTTACAACTCGCTCGCAGCGACCGACGACATAGCGCACTTGCGCATGCGCAGCTGTCTAGGCAAGTTCTCGTTATGAAGGACGGGTACCAAAACGAGGCACGGTTTCAAATGACATGAATCGGTGCTCAGTTGGTACTATGGAATTCGGTCGGTACCTTAAAATGTACTGAATTCGGTACCCATCACCAAATATAATAAAAACACTGCAGCGTATTAGTTGACAGATTCATTTGCCAATACAGAGTTTTCAATCAACCGATTCAGAATTAAGCTGATCACCGGCCGTTTTTGGTGCATCTATGTTATAAAACAGACAGTAGAACTTTAGTCTTTATAATTGGATATTTACTCAAATGAAACCATCTCTAATGTTTAAGAGTTTGCTTTACATGGTCAAGTACCTAAACTACGTATTTTATGAAGATATATAAAAAATTTAATCATAAAATTTTACATTTTGACCCATTTACAAGATACATTAACTTCAAGTTTCTTGTATAACAGAATTATTACGTATGATATTAACAGAAATCAGCCAATGTTCATCATTATTAACGATCAGCCAATCTAAAAACCAAATATTAGATTATTTTTTAAGCAGCACACCAAAACCGCAAATAACTTTTCATATGTGGAAGATTTCCTTTCAGGATTAATGTCCAAATTAGACAAAAACTCAAAAGATCAATAAAAGTACTCTGTTAATTAGTGTTCTTTGACGTAAATCAGAACTAGCCACATTAGTCTTGGCAGGACAGCATTGGAAAATTGGCATCGGCCATCTAAACCACCATCAGTGCATCTTTCAATTTCCACTCTACTCCACTCATTTAAGCCCAGTAAATAATCTAAATGCATGCCTTTTAGTACTTTTCGTAGTCAAACGCTATGTTTTATTTGACTTACGCTAACCTCTCTGTCATGTGGCGAATATTCTCAGGAGATATTCTGGACAGCCTGTGAAGTTACATACAGTGACCAGTTCAATTTATTTCTTCTGTATAAGGCTCGTATCAACACTGAAATTCCACCACAGCATTAATTTTTTTTCAGTTGGTAGAAAACAGTAAATATGCCAAATAAAAACAAACTGCAGCTATTTTGGTGGGGGGGAAAAAACTAGCCATGTTCAATTTCTACTTGTTTTGTCAGCCAATGTTGACATTTTGGCCCGGAACACAAACGTCAGCAAGTTTAGAGAGAATTTTTACACTTTTATTTCACATTGAAAGAAAAAATGTGTCTACAAATCATCTATGATGTGTGGCTGAGGCTGTGTGCGCGCGCGCGTGTGTGTGTGTGTGTCGTAACGTTGGTTACAAACAACCCTTTAGAAAACTGCTGTATTTGGTCATCTCGGTGATCAGCTGCCCTGATTTTTCAAACTCGACATCGGCCAAAGGAAACCCCCGGATCAGTCGACATTTTGGCGTTCGGGTAAAAACGCTTTGGGTGGATGTTTCTAAAGGGTTTTAAATGAGTGTTTACGGTGTGGTCGCCGCGGTTTATCTGCCGTCAACCAAAGCTCATTAGAGATTAATCTGCCAGGATATCCTCCGTCTAAAGCCGCCTGCTGCAGCGGATCTGATTGATCTGGAACAGATCACAAACATTGATTTTCACGACCCTGTTTTTTATTATTCTGACCGAAACCGAGTCGAGCGGCTGGCCATCGAGCCATCACGTAGCCCCACGATGCTTACTAGCCTCTCCCACACACCCTTAAGGAGCTGGAAATCACCATCCCACAGCAACACTTGTTCAGCTAAGTAGAAACTAATCAAAAGGTTGCAAATTACAGATTTCCTCTCATGCCGAATGCCTTGACAGCGGCGTGTTTTCGCTTTTACAACAGCTAGCCTAGCATCAGCTCGCCCCACCGTGGTGTCGCCTCTAACGCCTGCTCAATAAATAAAATAAAAATCCACCAACCTGCACATAATTGCTCTCGCAGTACTCGGCTACTCTCTCTAAGTTAGTAAAACTGTCTAATAGTGCCCCTCGTCCTGCTGGAATCTCCTCTTCCAGAAGCATTTGTAGCTCCGCCATTTTCACATCTTTGGCGGAGCAGTGTGTTCGGGCTTGACGGCGCCCCCCGTGGCCGCCCGTGGAACTGCAGGGCTCTCCCAGCGGCAGCAGCAGGTGATGGATGATTCATGTTTAAAACAGCAGCAGGATCCCCATTCACAAAAGACTGCGCGTTCCCTGCGCTTCTAGCGTTTATCTGCAAAATTGCTGTTTTTAAAAAGGGAGGGTTGCACGAATAAGCCTGGGAGGTCAGATAAAACAAATGTGCCTATTTAAACTTGTATTCTATAATGCAATCTTGAAGCTGATGTAAAATAAAACCATCATGCGTGAAAGAAAATTTGTCTGGTAACATTCTGAAAAGTGTGGAGCATTAGTTCTAAAACGAGCAAATGCAGTAAAATTATATCTCTAAAATGTTTTATATAAATTAAAAAAAACAAATAAAGTAAATGTGTTATATTCACATAGAATTTTATCCATTTCTGCACTCGTTTTATTATTTTGAATTAATCTAAAAAAATTAATTCAATCTTAAAAACATTTAAACTGCTGTATTTTATTAAGTATGGGAGCCCATTGCCATCACTGAGACAAAAATTATCTCATAATTATGAGATAGTATCTCATAATAAAGAAAAACTAAGTCATATTTAAGAGATATTAAGTCATAATTATGAGAACTTTTTAATCTAAGTTGCAGGAATGGGTTTCTATATTTCTAGTTGTTAATTAGAAAATGCTGTATTTTGGCTTTTCATTTTTCAGCGTTAAATTAGTATTTTTGTTGGCCTAAATAAATAAAGTGCTGTTTTTTGTGCCTATATATATATATATATATATATATATATATATATATATATATATATATATATATATACATACAAGAAATAATCAGAATAAAAAATACATGTTTCTGCTGCGCATCATTTAAAAAAGTTTTAATCTCCGTAGCTTTTTGTTAACACAGCAACAGGTGAACTAAACTAAAAAAATACATTTTTAAATAAATTTGAAATAATATTTTAAATAACTGAAATTTATTTTTCTGGAATGTTTGAGTTTGTAAAATTTAAGTTAAATGCTTTTGATACATACTGTTTAAAAAAAACAAATAAAGGAGCAATGCAATACATCGCCACAGGCTAAACTCTCCCACAAGGACCAGTTTGGTGTGCCACCCCAAAGATTTCTCTGGCCCCGTCTGGTCACCCCATCAAAATTTTCTGGAGGTGCTCCTGCTCTTCTGAGAAGGACATCTTCTGGGCTCAGAAACAGCTGTTTGACTTACCGAGTCCGTCACTTTCCACAGTTTGGCACCCCGCAATGGTGCCCTCTACTGGCGAGTAGAAATAAACATAAACCCAGTGTTGTGCCTTCAAAATAAAAGTTTGATTATTTTTTAAATTCATTTAATTTAATGAATTAAATTAGAAAATACTGTACCTTCAGTCTGAACACCTCTGAACACCACTGGAGGTTTAGTTAAACACAGATTTTTATTAAATTGTTCCATATTCAACCTTTATAAAAATGATTAAAAATTCCATATCAAATGAGTCCAAATTAAATTACTTTCCATAAACAGACCAAAAAAGTTCCTGAAGTAGAAAAACATGACAAAAATTCTCATTTTTGTACAAGTTCAATAAACAAGAAACTTTCTCTAAAAGATGAATAAACTTTTAAATTCTGACATTTTTTTAAACAATTCACTCAAAACATTGAATCTAAAATTACTAGTGAGAAGAACAAAGATTTGTGCCGGGGGGGGGGGGGGGGAGGGGGGGGGGATGTGGTAAGAAGGAAGAAATAAGATAATCGAAACTGTTGACACACTTCCCAAATCATGGAACATCGGCCAGATAGGGGCAAACAAAAAAACTACAATAAACATTGGTCATATTTCTAAACGACAACTGAGTGAAATAAAGCTAATAATATTCTTATTAAATGTCAAATTTGACAAGAATTTGTTGAACCAAAAGTGGTTGCTGATTTCAGACTGACCCCTAGATGGCAGTGTTCTTTACAAACAGCCCCTTTAAAGATACGTCCTAGTCAGTTTTCATCAACATTCAGCCTTCCATTTCTCACCTTTAAACAAATGAGAGCCAACAAGTGCTAACTTTGATGTTTTGTGTTATGAACAAGTTTAAAAAAAAGGCAGCTGAATGCTGTAAAAGCACTAATAAGGCAACCAGAGTAGGAGGAACCAGAGAACATTCAGGAGAAATAAAATGGTCATTTGTCCTTCCTGATTTAAATTGGCTCTGTTAAAGCGGGACACGTTGATCCCTCTCACATGGAACACCGTCTTCAGCTTCTTCTGCTGACAGTGATCCAGGTCTCCTCCTTAGGTGAGGACACCAGCTCAGAGCGAACCTCTGCCACCTGTCCCTGCAGCTGGTGGAGCTTCAGCCGCCGGACCAACGTGCTGACCAGGACTGTGGCTACAGTGTAAGCAAACCTAACAAACAGCAAAACCAAATCCAGTGACAACGACCAAACCGTTTTCACAGCTCCAAATAAGCTTTTCTAAAACCGTCATCTCACCTGAGTTCTGGACACGTTTGATTCCCCGAGAAGCCGAGCAGACAGAAGCTCTTTCTAGCCGAGTCTTCCTCAAATCGAGCCGGATCGAACCTGAGGAATGACAAGTTGTTCCGTTTACACCCGTACCTGCTCTAAGCAGGCTATTCTACTCATTTTAGAACAACACAGCTGACGGATGAACCTGTATGGGGCGCTCCACATGTCGGCGTCTTGTAGGACCACCCCAAGGGCGTAGATCACCAAAGTCTGAAACATGGAAACGATCACACATGAATGCAACTATTTTCACAGTTCTTTTGACAATTTTCTGACAGAAAACTGTGCAACATAGACACAATCTGCAAAAAAACAGAAATTTCCCATCATAGATAAAAATGAGATTATGTTGGGACAGGTGGGAAAGCCCCGCCCCTTTGTGGCTCTCTATCTCAGGTAGACTTCAACTCAATTCAATTCAAAGATACTTTATTAATCCCTGAGGGAAATTAAGAGTTTCAGTACACACAATTCTGAGATCAGACATACATAGACATAGACATGACAAGAACTGGTGACTGTGGTCATTCGCAACCCTAAGTCGTGCTACCTTAATAGAGATCAGAGGGTTTACATGAGGATTGGGTCAGGTGGAGGAAAAAAAGTAACTTCAGAGTTACCCTCCACAGGGAGGGCAGCTTTACTATGCAAAAAACACCTCAGACAGAAATGCAACAGACTTCAGACATTACACAACATAAGTGTCCACTAGATGGGGTAGGAGGGTTGGGGACTCTCCACACATCAGTGCATGCAGCCGCGATAAGCAGCGCCCCATCACCTCCGTTTGGACGGGGGGAGGAGGTAATTGGGTTAGAAAGCACAGTGACTCCTGGAAACCATTCAACAGCCTTCACCGGTCGCTGTCCCGCCCAGGCAGGGATAGGGAGACAGAGTTGCCATGGCGATGGCAGCATTCCACATTTCTTCTGAGGGGGAGTAAACACTTCAGCCTCACAGGCTGAAACATCATTCAGAGTTGAAACAGGTCACATGAAGTTGGACTTGACTGAAGTGATGTTTCGATAACTTTGGTGGTTTAGGATTTAGGATTTTTAGGGAGATTTTTCCTGAGGATGTTGATGATGTCACACTAACTACCATGCTTGAAATGATTTGATCTTTTAAAAAAGAACTTTTCTTACTCTTCAACCTTTTTAGTACAAATACAAATTATGCATCAAAACCAAGGTGGAACCCCAGGGACCTGGACCTGAAGCTAACAAGAAGTGACAAAAAAACTGCAGTTCCACCCACTTCCACTAGGGGCCGGCACCAGGAGTGAGCAAATCCTAATTGACTCCCATGTTAAAAACGCCAATTTCACAGCAGAAATAAACGTGTTTACAGCCTGGTTCAAAAAACCCATTTTAGGTTTAATAGATCTAGTTTATACTCATGACAACTCTGAGGGGGTGAATCTTTCTGTAACTCTTCTGTTTACGTGTAATTTAAGGCTATGAATCATTAGATTTGATTGACAGGCAGCATGAGCGTCAGAGCTAGCGCTAGCTGCTAAGAAGGCCTCAGCCTTATGTTAATAGATGTTCGGCCATTTTGACTCTGAACTTTAGCTGTGTCCTCTGTGTGTTCATGTTTGGATGTTAATCATTGAATTATTTGGACAAAGAGAGCAAGCTGTGGTATTGATCGCACGAAGAAATCATCATGGGTCGAAACATAACGTGTTGGCGGGGCTGCATGCTGGGTACTGAAACTCAAACTGGGTAAGCTGGCCGAGGCTAGCGGAGGCTCCGGGCTCCATTGATCCACCGCGGTCAGAGACCTGTGAGGTCGCAACAGCAGAGGGGAGAATTACGAGTTTCTGTACCGTGTCTCCCCCTTCAGCAGTGGCAGCCCTGTGATTGGAGACCTGCAGATCTGCTGCTTCAGGCTCCCGGAGGCAGCCGAGCAAAAGGGGCGGTCGGCTTCTCTTGTCCCCCAGCCGAGAACAGCTGTTGTATTGTCAGGCTCTCGGCTGCTGCCATCTCTCGAGGCATCCAAGCCGCGTGGCTGCCCGGCTCCCATGCAAGGCTGTAGTCGTGCTGGCCACTTGTGGAGCTCTCTGAGGGAGACCACCGATACACCGCAGCTCTTTGAGTTGATGCGGGCTTCGATTTTAGACCGTTCAAATCGTGTTTTTCTGGCTAAAAGCTCCTGAAAACCTTTGGTGGCTAGCATGGTTGGCTCCTAGCTGCATGTTAGCTTCGGGTTAGCTCGTAGCTACATTGGTTCAGAGTTTGATAGGTGTCATTCATGTACTCCTACCCTCACAGCCCCACTCTCAGCTCCACCTCTTTGCTCATTTTTGGATTTGGCAGTAGTGACAACATGAGTTGCACGACCAAGACGGCGGTGGTAGGAACCACCCGTTTGGCTTCAAGTAAAGCCAACAGAAGGCTATGGGTGGGGTTTGTCCATCTTTTTTACAGTCATTGATCAAAACGTAGATAACTGAGTCTTCCTCCACCTGCTGTCTCTCTCACTGCTGTAGGACTGATGGGTTTCTCTCAAGTCCCCTCAGAGTCCAGAGAGTTCACTCCCAAACGTCCGTACAAATCTGCTATACATTATTTTCTCTTCCAAACTTGCAGCACACTATGTTATGAACTTGTCATATCTCCTACATAAAACGCTGTGGAAACACAAAAATCCACTCCTGTGACCATCGGACCCTTCAGCTGCTCAGTTAAAGAATCATTCCAAAACGTCGACTTTTCGCCCAGCAGCTGTTCGTCTGAGGATTTGTTTTTAGTTCTGGTCTGCCCTGACCCCCCCCAATTAAATTTTCCACCAGAAAGTGGGAGGCAGGTGTGTGTGGTTGCTGTGGCAACCTTAAAGAGACAATGTGTAGTTTTTACCGTTAATTTCTGGAAATATCCATCGAAACATTGTTGAAAATGAAGTAAATGATGACCAGTTGTTGAAAAATATTGCCAGCTTCGTAACAACAAACCATAAAAATCGGGTCTAAAATACACGGATGCAGGTCTACGTTACGTCTCTGGGCGACGCCATATTAGACGCCATGCTTCTTTCTACGTGAGCCCGTGAGGACAAAATGCATTTACTAACTTGTTACAAACGGTTAAAAAGCTTTAGTCATTCATAAATGTTGTTTTGTACATTTACCTCTTCACTCGTTGCCAGTGATGAACGGGAGTGTGATGTGTTTGTCATTTTGCTGGAGGTTGCGCTCCCAGGGATTTTTGACCCTAAAGGCCATCTGTTGGTAAGGTCTCACACTATCGCCAGGTCACTTTATTAAGCCACTGGTGTTTTCATAGTGATCCGGACTGAATGAGCCACTACTGGTTGCCACGGTGACCTGAATGCATCACTGGCAGCAGCGTTAGCATCTCTGCTGACCTCGGTACTGAAACGGTTGAACCGCTTCGTCTTTAGGCAGCAGCTGAACTAAACTTGCTTGTTTGAAAACACCTTCAGTAATGTTCCAGTTGTTGTGAGATCCAGAAAACACTAAGATAAGTTATTTTTAAAACAAACGACATAAAATACACGACGCGCGATCCGTGGGTTTGACTTTCTCTGTATTTAATATGAGAAAATGCGACAGTGTTGCAAACAGCAGCAAATGTCTGTGCGAGGCAGCGAGCCACAGACGGGGACATCCAATACCTCTTTGGGGATGACATGCTGATCGACTTTCCCCTCAACTTCCTGAAGCCGAGCAGCAACGGGGGTCAGCTTGGCGGTTCTCACCGTCTCGTTGAGGACCTGCTGGCAGTATCTGCCCCAAAACAGAAACATAATACAAACTGTGACTATGGAGCAGATCACGTGAAGGACAACTGCTCACATCTGGGTCTCACCTGAGGTGAGGAATCTTGTCCAAGGAAACCGGATCAGAACCCAGGACGTCCTGCAGCTCTTGGTACAAGTTGTCCTGGGCTTCTTCTGAGGTGGACAGGAAATGAACTGCCCAGATGCACACTGACGAAACAAGATACTCATGTATTAATATCAGAACTAGGAGGAAGGTTTGTTTTCTTCCAGATTAATCAGCTCACGGTTAGCAGTGATGACACATCCGGCCAAAGTGAAAACCATGCAGTCCTCCATGATCTGAAACAAACAGTAACATCCCTTCAGAGGATGCCTCTCTCAGAGGACTTGAAACCAGAATGTGAGGCTCCACCTGTCGTTCTGTGAGGCTGGACTGAAGGAGAGCATCTACAAACACCGACTGTTTCCTCTGAGCTTTCCTCTCCTTCGCCACCGACAGCAGCATGGATTCCATCTCCGACAGAGCTGACCAAAGGACAAGACACGTTCAGGATTCCAGCCTTCTCCAGACTCACCCAGTGTGTGTGGGTGTGTTTCAGATGGCCGGTCTAAGACCTGAGACATCTGCACGGCTTTTAAACCAAAGCGGTGGGTTGTATTTTGAAACTTTGCCACTAGATGTCTCTATACTGTGATGTAAGTTGCATAGAACTGCAATCCTGTCATTTTTATTCAGCTGTAACGTCCAGCAATGGTCAGTTTTAGGTACAGTTTGACCATTCAGCATCTGGTCAAAAAGGAGACACAAGACTGCATGTGTTCCCTTTAAATTGGCCTGCCTTCATCCCATCAGCTGGAGCTCAGAGCCTCTCTGCAGCTCTGAACACATGATAACGTATTGTCAACAGTAATGTTCTCTCCTCAAGGTCCATCCTTATCGCCCTACAGGATTCTTCATGCCTAACACTCGCAGCTCGGATCAGTTGCTAAATCAAAGAATGATTTCCTAAATTAAATACGAACTTCTAAAACTTATAAGCTAGATAATCCTTAAATTAACGTTAGTTTTTTGCTACTTATAATAATTATAATATAATGAAATGTTTCATTAATCTGTGCTCAATGGTTGAAGTGTGAAATGAATGTTATGTTATGATTACAGTGATTGAAATATGTTTCAGCATGTTCATATGACAAGGTCATCACCACTTGCACTCACACAAAAACAAAGTAAGGTTAAGTTAAACTCATGACACATAAATAGTCCTCTACCCCAGATCAGAGCATCCGGTATCAAGGAAGGTGTGTTTTGTAAGACTCTTGGTAATATTCCTCAAACTTGTCAACCTCTGGTTGGCTACACAATCATAACATGAGAACATTAAAACTGGATCACTCTGGTGATTCCTCAGTTCTAGAGAAAGCTTCAGACTGGTCATCTGAAGCAAAACCCTCTTTAACCATCAAAGCTCTTGACACGTCGTCAAAACCTTTTTGCACCTGCAAAGCTGATACAGCAACAGCTCCTGCAGAATGAGCTGATATTGTTCCGACTCCTTAAAGAGTCCCAGATGTGCGGTTCCATCCATCTGTCGTGACCTGGGACATCTCTGGACTGAAGAGTCGGTGCCACGGTATTCTACAGCCCTTTGGTGCCAGAGGTCATCCGACCTCTCTGACCTTCGGATCCACCAAGAGGGTCTCCGAGAACGGGTGACGTAGACACACAGATAGCATCTGATGTGCTTTTGATAATTATCAACTTCCTAGCTTAACGCAAACCAAATTCTTTTACATCCAGAACTCAGCTGTCCTAGATACGGAAGTTCTGATAACATCGCATTCACACCTAGGTTCCATCCATCACAGTAAATGCTTAGTTAACTTGTCATGTTTTAATTGTTGGTAAAATAAATTCTTACTTTTATAAACCTGACTCTTTTCTGAATCAAAACAAAGTGTCTACAATCCCTTAATGAACAAAGGATCCTAGAATCTTCTGATTAAAGCACAATAAAGACCAAGCAGGTTTGATATTCTACATTTAGATAGAGTATCACAGCTTATTGGTCATAAGTAGAGGTAATATACATATTGAGCTCTTAAAACACTCAATTTACCAAACCCTACACAGTTTTCCGACAGATTAGCACAAGATCTCCATTCTGATCTCAGCGCCCAGCCGGAGTCCCCACCTCAAACTTAAATGACTTCATTTTAAGAAATGTTTCTACTCCTTGGTGAAGTTTTCACCAATAAAACGAATAAAAACATGACTCGGACTGAGCTGTCGGATTACATTTTGCTTCTTTAATTGACACAAGTTTCCCTTTCATGTCGACTATTGGGAGGATTTACTTTCTCTCCTGTTTCTCCTTTCTGTGTAAACACACCCGGTCCCAAAGACAAGTAAATGCCCCAGAAGAGCTCAGTGCTTCTTCTTACCCGTCTCATAATGAGCTTTTCTGCTGGAGCTCTTTTCCAGGGAACCATCCATGTAGCCCTTACCGACTTCTGACCATATCTGAAGGCACCAGAGGACAGATTTTTATATTTTAGAATGAAAAAGCATTCAGATTGTTTAAGGAGACAACAGAAAGGCTGAAATTGTCTGACCGCGTCATGGTTCTTGCGGAAGGAGATGACTTTGGCATCGTCCCTGAAGCGCTCGCCCAGTCCCAGCTGGGTGACGGTCTTCAGAGCCAGGCCTAGCATGTGTGAACACAGAGGAATGTGCTGAGCCTCTGGAAACGAGCTCCACTTCCCCACCAGCTCCTCCACCACCTGGATCAAATCAGAATCAGAAGGGTTTTATTGCCAGATTTGCAAGAATCACAACATTAGGAAATTGCTGAGGTAAAAGACATCAGACAGATCAGGAAAGCTACAGATGAGTAAGAGCGTGTTTGCGTTAGTGGTAGAAACCTGGAGGATAGTGGAGAAGTTGTTCTTCAGGCTGTTGCTGATGGCGCTCTCATACAGCTTCTTCCTCATCACCGATTCATTGGCGCCGCCTCCCATTCCCGACTGGTAGCCGAGCAACGACTTCAGCATGGTCTCAAAGGAGTCAGCTAGGGACCAAAACAACAAGGGTGAAACCTTTTGTTGTTCGGAACAACGCGCAATCCCATCCGGTCTGGTATATTTACTGGTGTGGTTGGGGTTGATGTGCTGCTGTAGGTGGTTCACGGAGCCAAGACTGACCACGGGCCGACCACCGAACCAGAACGATGCCACAGAACCAAACTCCTGATGAAGGCCGACAAGGAACTCATGCAGGCTGCCTTTGTTGACAATGTCCTGCAGGTTCCCGTCCCTGCAGAAGCAACAAAAGACATCTAATAATGGACACTTTCTTCTGTGTGTCTCAGAGACATAAAATCTCTCTTGGTGTTAAAAATAAAATAAAGGCTTATAAAGATCACAAAACATATTACGATTTTTATGTTGGATCTATTAAGTGCACGTTTGATGAGTTTAAGTGCTGTAATTTGTGATTATGATTCTCCAGTAGGTATAAATTCAGTGGAATACAGACAACATCAGCCTCGTGTTAAATGATTGTTTATTATGCGTCTATGACGCAACAAACATGAAAACGTACTTTTCGTCAGTGGGGTAGAGACCTGGGACACCAGAGGCCCTCCTGGATGACTGAAAACATGATTAGCAACCATTAAAATAGTAAACATCGATTGCTTTTGTCTTTACGAGTAATGTCCTTGAAATAAACATCTCAATTCTGTTACTACTTCAGAGTAATGAAAGCAAGAGTATTAACACATAATTTAAAGTAAATGTACTCAATGGTTTTCATTAGCTGAAATTCGGCGTACAAATTAAATACGTAAAAGTTTTTTATGTTAAGTTCTAATAGCATGCTAATGCTCAAACTAGACCTCAAAGTTGTGTTTGATCAAATATTTTTTGGAGAAATTTAGATTAAGCGTATGCCGAAACTAGCTTGAAATTTTAAATATCCTGCGTCTCTTCAACTGTGACATAAAAACAAACCTTATTAGAGAAAAACAAAAGAAACTTTAAATCAAGCGTTTTCTTATACAAGTCTGGCGTGAGAGTGTAACGATGCTAATGTAGATATCGCGGTGACTTACCGGGTACAAATAAAGAACAGCACCGACTAAAATTATGACAAACGTCACCGCAAAGATGGCAAAGTCCAGCATATTTGCGTTACTAACCCTTTTTCAAGTAAACTAAAGATTTTCACCACCATATAGAATGTGTATGGTTACCACGTCAACATTGCTTATCAGTGTTCAACTACACAGCCTGGACAGTCACAGAAGGCAGTCAAACCCAGAAATAATCGATCGATGCATGATTGTTTTCGTGCACTTTGACTATTAAACTTCTTCCTCTTGTCTTTTTAATTAATATAATTTTAGCTGACATATTTAGCTCTTTACTGTTATTTTATCCTGATGTAATCCTTCTTTAACAGTGAAATACACTGTTTACCTGTAAAAATAAATAAATAAATAGTAATAACAATAATAATAATAATGATAATTTTTATTTTAAAATGTCTTTCATGACACCCAAGGACACTTTACAACAGTGGAGATAAAATCAAACAACATAAACATAGTACAAAAATATCTAAAACACTATTTAAATTTAAAAATAAAAGTAAAAAAAACTGTGAAATTTAACTAGGAGCTAAAGGCTTTTCAGAAGAGGTGGGGTTTTAGTTTTGATTTAAAAAGAGGGAGAGAATGAGTGGTGCAAAGGTCAGGGGCAAGAGAATTCCAGAGGTGGGGAGCAGAGCGGCTGAATGCTCTACTCCCCATGGTGACGAGGCGAGCTGAGGAGCAGAAGAGGAACGAAGTGAACGGACAGGAGTGGCGATTTGAAGGAGATAGGATATGTAGGATGGAGAAATGTTGTTGAGAGCTTTGAATGTGATGAGCAAAGTTTTGAAATTGACTCTCTGTTTGATGGGTAACCAATGAAGTTGTTGCAGAATGGGGGGGGGGGGGGGGGGGGGACGAGTCCTAGTGTTGACACGTGCTGCAGTATTCTGTAGAAGCTGCAGTTTATGGAGGGATTTGCTGGGGAGACCAAACAGAAGTGAGTTGCAGTAATCTCTCCTGGATGTGGCGAGGCTGTGGACAAGGATATCAGTGGTGTGAGGGATAAGTGATGGATGGAGACGGGAGATGCTACGCAGGTGAAAATAGGCAGACCAGGTAATATTGATGATGTGAGTTTGAAAAGAAAGTGTGCTGTCGAAGATGACACCCTTAAGAGACCCTCATGTTAAGAAGAGACTCTTAACATGAGACGGAGTAACTGTTGAATTGTCAATAGTGATGGGGAAACTGTTTGGAGAGAGTATTAGGCGTGCCTACGAGGAGATCTTTAGTTCTAGAACTGTTGAGTTTGAGGAAATTGGAAGTGAACCAGGAATGAATTTCTTGGAGTCAGAGGGTCAGGGAGGAGGGCCATCGACACATATATAGAGGAGGGTGCAAGTGAAGTTGTGGGTTTGGTTGAGCGGTAGAGCTGGGTGTCATTGGCGTGACAATGAAATTTAATTTTGTGTTTATGGAAGATGTAACCTAGAGGGAGGAGCTAAATTATGAAAAAAGGAGCCCCAGGACAGAGCCCTGGGGCACACCAACGATTGGATTTGAATGACTTCTGTTGAATCTCTAGATGACAGACTGCTGAGGAGGGTGCTGTGGGAAATAGTGTCAAGTGCTGCTGAGATCAAGGAGAACAGACAATACAAAATGCTCTATCGATCCCATTATGTTGATTTAAATATTTCATTATATCGATGAATGAGGGAAGCTGCATCTGTAGTTTCCTCATATGCCATGTGTTGACTTTAAAAGCTTTTATATTCTATTTTATATGAGACAGAACTACTTTACACAGGATGCATTTGACTCTCTTTTTTATTGAATGTTAAAATCTAAATATTATGTTTTATTTTTGTATTTGTAGTGGTAATTGAGGAATTTAAATATTTTACTTCTATTTGATTTTGTTAGTTATAAAGAAACACTTGACTGTTTTGTTAAAATAACTTTATTTACAAAGAAACAACCACATTACAGAAACAACATATAACTCAACCAGAGAAATATGTGCAGGGCGCTAACAGACCTGCTACTGAAAGCAGATGGACAGAATTTCTTTTTTCAGGCAGTGATTTCTGACTTCTCTTCTGGCTTTGGAGGTTCAATATCCATGGACCTCAGATAACCTGAAGAATGAAAATTACATTAGATGTCTCCGTTTTAAGTTAGGGTACTTAGAGTTTGTGTGTTGGTTTCTCACCCTCAGTGTAATCTGTCTCAGAGCTGATGGCAATCAAGATCCAAGCCAACCCCCCCAGCAGAGCCACCACCAGGTTGATGGTTACCCATGGGTGAAGAATCTGGTGCTCTGATCCAGGAGACCTGCAGTACAGAATCTGGGTTCAAACCAGCAACCCAGCAATGACAGACTGAACTTCCTCCACGGCCCAGACGCCGAGCTGTAAACGTCAGATTGCTGTGGTGGACTCACCATAACGTAGCGTTGACGGGCGAGTAGAGGTTGATTCGATCGCTGGTCATCTGCTGGCTCAGACAGAGGACCAGTGCTGAAAAATACACTGAAGAAAATAAAACAGAACGGTAAACCAAGCAGATATCAGATTGGTGAATAATCTATGAGGAAATGACTTGGACTCACAGAATGAAGCGAGAGCCACTGGACTGAGCGTCACAAACTCCCGCAGAGCCACGGAAACGTGGGCCAGATTCAGTCTGAGCACAACGACAATCAGAAGAAATATTCAAGCTTCGTTGTGTTTGGTGAGTAGATTTACGTATCCTGCGGTCAAATATGGCTACGTGAAAACAGACTCCTACCCCATTCCCTGCATTGGCCGTTGATAGAAAATAGACGAGGAAACGCTCGCATTAGAAAAGCCGGTCAGATCTACGTCACGCTGACAATGTGGCTGTTGTTGCTTTAGCGTCCCGGAGAAAGCAAAGCACATCTTGACTAGTAGAAGCTAACCATTAGCATTGGCAACTCCACAACACGGCAGAATTCCTCCAGTTATTTGTGGAGATGAAACATCAACGTTGCTGAGCAAACGGCGAAGAGCTGGGTTGCTGTTAACCAATCAGACGCGAGAGGTCCGAAAATGTTGAATGAAACTGAGCCGGCTAGGGGTGCACGCTCACGACCAAGAGGCGTTGCTTACAGCTGAAATCAGAGAAGCAGTGAGAGGGGCTTAAAGGTGTAATATATTTTCCTGCCACAAGACGGCGCTGTCTGAGATAAAACACCAGGTTTTGCTTTGACGTTTCCTTATGTTTATTTTTTGTTTTCAAAAGGAGACTCAGGAAGTTTTTAGCTTTAGGTTTGTCCTGAAATCCTGAATATATTTTATAATCCTTTTGGTACGTTTGGCTCGACGGTTGTGGCTGATTTCACGAGAATTTCTACCAATCAAAATTCATTCATGTGTACTTGCCTTTTGCATTCCTGTAACATGTTTGAATTTTCTAAACATCCCCAGTGGGAGGACCTAACCCTAACCTGTCAAAGGCGGCCACGGTGCTGATGACCAGCAGCATGTAGAGCAGGGACTGGGACGGGTACGCCAGGTATTGGTACTGCTCCAGCAGGTTGGTGAGAGCTGTGAGCTGCTGCCCGGCCAGCATGTACACCACCACCACGTTCCACACGGTGTAGCCGGCCAGGAAGCCCTGACAATACACACCGAACACCCTGAAACACACTAGAACGTTACTCTACGTTTATGTTTATAATTTACTGTTAAGGAGACATTTTCCTTCACCTGAATCCTTCGTGGACTCTGACAGACACGTCTCTGGTGGTCCACAGAGGCTGCACCTGCTGGAAGTCGGCCATGTTGTCCGTTTGCTCACTGGTGGTTCTCCAGTCTGAGCGTTCTGCAGCCTGGAACCGCTCTGCACATAAACATGATGTTTAGCGAGAACAACACTTCAACGCTCGTTTTCCCAGACACTCACTGTTCCTCTCGATGAACACCTTCCCCACTGACTGGCTCTGAACCTGCGGGGCTGAGAACAAGGACTGCTGGGGGACTGGACTGGTGTCAGTGATGATGTCCTCTTCTTCAACTTCAAACTCATCAGGAAGTTGCGACTCAGCTACTTTTGATTTCCTGAAAGAGACGCATCTTTGCTGAGATCTGCTGTAACTTCGTGTTTTTGTTAAAACAGCTCTGCTTGAATTCCATCTAACTTGGAATTAAAATCTGACGCATCTGATCAGCTGACACCAAACACACTGATGCTCAAATGTGTAAACTGGGTACAGTTGACTGACTGCTTAGTAAAAAATACTTTTTTCTTTTGGGTTTTTTGATCATTTCCTCCCCATCTGTGGTCTGATCTCCAGCGTCTCCATCACCGAGTTCGGCCTGATCGTCCTCTAGATCTGAAACCCAGATGTAAAGTACATCTGAGCAATCACAGCGGGCGTCTGCAGGCGAAACTGCAGAACAGAAGTCTTCTGATCTGACCTATCGATGCAGCTTTCTTCTTCTTCCTTCTCCAGTGTGTTGACGTGTCTGTCGTGGTTTCGAGGATCAACTGATCGTTGACCTGGGACGCCCGCCGGCTGCTGACTCCTCCCATCTCCACTGCTTGATCTGAGAAATAAGTCAAAGTCAAAAGACATTTTGCTAAAAATTCCAACACAAAGACATCTGTCTTGTTCTAAGATGATTCAATAATCACTCTACAGAAAATTGGCCTTAATAAGTAGTGAAAAAAATCCAACATGAAAATACGTCTTTAGGCAAACGTCAGATAAAAGTCTACCCCAAAGAAAAAGCTGTAAAATCGTTCAATGAACTGTTTATTCTCTCCTGATGTTTGCTTCTCACCTCCTTTCTCATTCATTCCATTCGTATCCTTCCTCATCTTCTTCTTCTTCCGTTTTGGGACTGGCAGATCTGTTAATATATTGAATATGAGTAAAATCCATCAAAATAAATAGTCATAAAATGTGTTTATAGGAACCTCTGACCCACCTGTTGTGTGTTGACTTCAAAAAAGAGACAAAAGAAAAAGTTTAGTTAAAGTTCTTTCTGCTGTTTCACAGAAACTTCCCAAAGAAAAGCTGTTTTACTACCTGGGCATTGTGGGAAGGGCTCGTTGTCCTTTCTGCAGAAAACAAAGACACATTTTCATTCGTTTGACCTCAAAATGCCTTTGAACAAATAAATCATTCCAAAGTGACAAAAAGAAACCGTCAACACAGCCAGAATTTATTTGAAAATATTGCGTAATATGGCAGTTTCAGAATAGGACCGAGGACTGATCCCTGAGGTGCACCATCTGAGTCAGTAAGAATCGGTGTATTAAAAGCAGAGACACTTTATTAGTTTTATTTATTAAGCTTTTGTTTGTCATACACTGGAAAAAATGTGCACTGCCTCAACTTAAAAAATGTGTTCTGCCACACCTAATAATTTTGCATTGACTTGATGTAATAAATGTTTTTGTGTAACCTCAATTTTTTTACTTCACGTGAACTAAAGTTAGCGGCTGAAGCAAATCAATTATTACAGGATGTTCCAAATCAAAGAAATTAAGTTAGATTTTTTTTAGCTGATGTAAATATTTTACCAAATCAAACCAGACATTTTTAAGTTGAAGCTTTAGAATGTTGGAGGAAATGTAACTTTTTTAAGTTGTCCTTAATAAATAATTATAGTTACAGGCATAGGTCCAGGTGTGGCGCTGCGCCACGGCTACGAAATCCTCCCTCCCCCTCCCCGCCCAGCTCTAACGGGAGACACACGGCAGCGACACATTCCGCGTGCATCCCTCCAACGGCAGCGTAACGTTCGCCCACCATAACGGGAGTTGCACGGAAGCAACACGGTACAGGCCAAAACAGAACAAATTATCTAAGAACTTGCCTACCCTCAATGCACCTTGCCCATTGCAGCTCCTGCAGTGGGAGGGGTCATTACTATATTATAAGTAAAATGACATATATACATTTAAATTTGCACTCAGAACACATTTGTTTTATGTAAACATTTATTGTTTAATGAGCATGTCGTCATCCAAAATGATACCACTACATTTATTCAACATGCATAAAGCCCTTTAAAACGCAGAGGGAAAAAAATAAAACACACGTCTGCATTTTTAGCATGGTTACTTTTGTCCTGAATACATATTTTGTTCTTTTTTCTTGTTTCTTCTTGCCCGTTTTAATGTTGGTCTAAATGCACTAAAAGCTCTAGTTTGAGGTGAAAATGAATAATTGTGCTGCCAAAACTAAGTTTTGAGGTTCAAGGTAACTTTATTAATACCCACAGGTAAATTTGATTTGCCATGTGACACGAGAATTAGCGCCCAGGTTACACACACAGTCACAAAACACACACATCAATGAAAAATATAAACAATAAATGAATAAAAATAAAAATAAGTAATGTTACTGCCTTGGGAATAAAGCTTGTTTTGCACCTCTTGGTCCTGCACTTTGGCACAATAAATCTCTGTCCAGATGGCAGGAGAGTAAGCTGGCCATGCAGTGGGTGGCCCGTGTCCCTAACAATAGCTTTAGCAATCCTCTCTACCTGTCCACTGTACAGCTGTGCCACACTTTTCCCTGTTTTCCAAGCAGACGACCGGACCACTTTACTATCCTGTTCAGCGTTTCCTTTTGTTTAAGATTTACCTGACCAAACCATGAGGCTAAGGAAAAGGACAAAACACTTTCAATAAAAGAACAATAAAACATGGACATTATAGTCCTGTCCACATGGAATGAGGCCAGTTTTCTACGGCAGTACAAACGCTGCTGGCCTTTCTTACCCACAGCATCACAGTTTTCCTCAAAATTCAACTCCTTGTCAATAATTGTCCCCAAATATTTATATGATTTCACTTGCTCAATCGTTTGACCTTTAATTATGGAAAGATCATGCTGTTGTTGTGGCTGCCTTCTAAAATCGATGATCGTATCTTTTGTTTTAATTACATTAAGTTGTAGATATGATTCATCACACCAAGAGATAAAATCATCAAGAACAGGTCCACGGCTGTAATCTCCTTCTCTCTGGAGACTTACTACTACCGAATCATCAGCATATTTAATAATTGTCCTTCTCTCATGTTTGCCTCGGCACATGTTAGTGTATAAAATATACAACAAGGGGGACAAAACACAGCCCTGGGGAGATCCGGTAGACACATTTTTCTTATCCGACAGGGTACCATTCACTCTGACCTTTTGTGTTCTGTTGCTCATAAAATCTAGTATCCACCCAAGCATGCTTTTACTCAGGTGAAACTGTTCCTCTAGCCTATAAACCAAAGCAGTAGGTTGGTGTTGAAAGCGGACGAAAAGTCCACAAAGAGGAGTCGAGCATGAGTTCCTACTAGGTCCAGATGATGAAAAGCATATCTAACAGAGTGACCGTTGCATCCTCCACACCCCTCCCAGCCTGATGTGCAAACTGTAGAGGGTCCAGCAGTCGCTGTGTCTGCTTTAAAAGCTTGCATCTAACCAGCTTTTCAAAGATTTTCATTAAAATGGAAGTTAGAGCAACAAGGCGGAAATCATTTAAAATACCTGGATGTCTCACCTTAGGAATCGGTACAATTTCTGCATCCTTCCACGGTTCAGGGACCTTTTGTAACCGTAAAGATTCATTAAAAATGTGGTGCAGTATAGGTGTCAGCTGGTATGCACAGAATTTAAGTAAGTGGCCACAAATGTCATCTGGTCCTCGGCTCTTGTCCACTCTAACTGTCCTGATGGCCCTACCTATGTCCTCCATGTCAACTTTAAAATGGTCACTATCCTTACATTTCTCCCTCAGGACACCCCGTTCCCCGCTGAAACCCAGAGCGTCATACCGACAATCAAAACTGTTCAGGGCATTAGCTAGTTCCCTGTCAGTGTTAAACGGGTCTAGACAGATGGTTGTGTACTGTGCCTCGGAGCCATGTCCTGCAATAATTCTCATGCTAGTCCATGCTGAACCAAGTTTATTTGCTGCCATTTTGTTCTCCAGCTGTCTTCTATATTCATGTTTAGCCTTTGTAATTTCTCTTTTTAACAGTATGTTAGCCCGCTGTAACTCAGCCACTGACCCCTGTTTAAAAGTGAAAATGAATAATTATGCTGCCAAAACTAAGTTTTGAGGAGTGTGCAAAGCACTAATCAAAGTGCTTTCCTCAAAATAAAAATATTCCCTGTGGAGCCCCGCTGGTTACAACATTAGAGTAATGTATTGCAAACTAATGGAATTTAAAGGCAACACGTTAAATGAAAGACATGCATGTTTACCTTTCAGTATGAAGTGCTATTAAATCTAACTGGAAACTGTCAAACACAGCATGTCGGTCAGAAAAGGGCAAAAAAAAAAAACATCTAGCTAGCAGTTATTTTCTCTAATGAAACTGAATTTTCAGAAGTGGTATCGCCAAATACAAACCAGATCCGTGGCAAGACATTTCAGTAAATCCATTTTTACAAACAGTCACATCCTCTCCTACAAAACCAGACAAGCACACGGCATGAGTGTATTTAAAGCACCGACTCTCGTTAGTGACAAGATCATATCAAACAGGCAAGATGACAAAAATCTTACCGTCGTCGTTCTGGTTATTTCAACTAAGAACTGAGTCAAAGTGAAGCAAAGCAACACGCGTCATCCCAACTCTGAAATCCTCGGCTAAATCTGGCAGGACTGAGGATTACTTGGGGTCAAAGGTCAGATGAAGCAGCAGTGAAGTGGTTTATTACAGAGAAGTTTAAAATGAAAGGATTCAGTGGAATCTGGTTTAATCTTTCTAATGATACTGGTACAACAGTAAACTACTCAAAGGCCTCACTTGCATATTTAAGTATATAAATAATAAATAAAGAGCTCCAAAGTTTCATGAAGCTATATGGTGGTTGTTGGTAAATCCTTGGTCAGTAGTGGGCTTGTCATGGTACTCAGACCTGAGGGGATTCAGATGTCGTTCTGGATTCCTTTTTTCCTGAATCCCTTACGAACGGGGCATGGTTTGTTGCTTTTTGAGGTCTTTTAACCTTCCTTCTTCATGCTATCAGACAAATTCTATTGAAGTGATTTCTTAATGCTACAATTCTTCAACAGGGGAAGTGAAGTTATCTTTATAGATAAGGGGTTAATTTAACAAAAGGGGAAAAGTGTTTAAAGATAGGGCAAAGTTGTTTTGGATAGCTTTCTACTCCTTCGTTTTATGTTAACCCAGGTTATATTTGACTGATATTTACATTTTTTGCTTATCTGAAACATTTTTAAATGACCTGACTTTCTAGTTCTAACTTCCATCGTGTACATTTATTAATGCTCAGCAGTCACAATGAAGCAGGTGCTTCTTTAGACAAAGCAATATGTTAGTAATAAAAATAAACACTTCTATAACAATATAAAGATTTAGACGTTTTTGAATATTTCTTCACCGTTATGAAGATATTTTACAAAATATTTAAAATCTTCCAATAGCATATTTTCTTTTAAAACTCCTCAAATAAGGACCATTACTTTTACGTTGTAACGTTTTACGATAAAATTTGCAGTACTTCCGCTTTCTAGCTGAGGTGCTGCTTTCAAAGTAAAAGCTGACTTCCGGTTCGTGCTTTCACGATTTAAAAAGCTTTAAAAATATTTTTGAAACTCCTTACAGTAGCAAAATAACATAGTTAAAATATGTCCCAACGTTACATTAGACGTTTAGTATTTGTGTGGGTGTTACTGGAGTTATGCTTCTCTTACACAACATCTATCATCTAACCGTCTGTTGCCATGGAAACGTGGTGAGTGTGTGAATGGCGCAGCCGGGGAAGAGCACGCTAGTATGATCGGCGGTCCCTCCGTTTGTTATGACACTGCGGCTGCAGTAAGTAATTCATATAATATGAGAACAAACAATGATGAGGCTGCGTACGTGGGTGTGAGTCACTGACCTGTGTTAGCGGAGGGAGCTCCCTGACCCTCTGAACATACAAAGAACTTACATTAGTTCGAGCATTATCGCGTACAACATTAATATTATCACATAAACACTTCAAACGAACAACTTAACACAATAATAAAGCATTTGACTGGATTGCATTGATATTATTTGACGTATTTAAATCGCAAAACACTATGAAGGCTAGCTAAAGAGGGTAAAAACTTCCCACGTTTGCGTGTCCTGCGTCCATTCTTAATCTTTTCACCGAACAACACGACAGTAATAAGCAACCCGGTCACACCCTCATCAAAATACAAGCAGATTCTACTCCAAAAATGTTTTTAAACTCGAGTAGCGCGCTAATTGTGTTTGGAGCAGCGTTCTTGGACACCGGATGTGCGCGCGAGAGCAATGTTTACGTCTTCAAAATAAAAGCGACGGATCGACGTAAATATCAAAATGTATTATTGTTATTAATATAGAATAGAAATCATTTTTTGTCAGTGGAAGAGGTTGAAACCGTAGACGGGGACTGTTGGATAACCTTTGACCCCACATGGATTCACCCTGTAAGGAGGCTAATCTTTTCTGGAAAGCTCAGTGTTTTTCATGTAGATTATACTTTTATGCGAAAATGTTTTTTTTATGTCTGTAATTGTTTTATGTGTCTTTTCATCAAGTTCTAAGATATGTTCTGCTTTTGCTGCTGCCTCATGGCCTGATCCTTGTTGTAAGCAAGTCACAATTACAATAAATATGAACACAAATGTGCAGGAAAAACGATCTATTCATAAGAATTTAAGTTTTTAAATACAACTTTTTGAGATACGACAAACAAATATGTATTCTCTTTTAATAGTTTTAAACAAGTTATGCTTTTTAAAAAAACATATCTTAAGAACTACAAAGATATTTTTGTCACTAATGACACTTGATAGAATTTAATCTTCTAATACAGTGAAATGATTTTCTCAATAATGCTGCATTTTCAATAATGCTGCATATTATTGAGAAACAAGTGTGAAGTGGGAATCAGTTTCATGTTCACTTAGCTCTCTCTAGCGGTCACTCGCCGCTATTGCATCCTGCTCACCGTTGTTGAATCATGAAAGATGAACAACAAACTACGGTAGTTTAAAAAGCTAAGAAAAACATGCAGCGTTATACCAATACAAAAAACATGTCTGTCGCCATGAGCACATTTATTTAAAAGGGACACACTATGAAGTTTTTAAAGCTACAATAGTTCTTTAAAACAATTTTATAGTATTCTTGGTTTTGTTAACATTGCTGTAAGCCAATCAGAGGCTAGATGTTGGCATATCATGAATATTAATGAGAAAGACTTGTAATCAACACCAGAGCATTTTTTTTACAGAAAACGACTAAAAAGGGATTCAGTCATAATAGAGACCAAAACAAATTTCTTGAAAAAAAAAAAGTGAACGAGACTTTTAATTTGTAAATACTCTTGTAAGTACCAGCTAAATGGGAGATGGTATGCATAGTGCCTTCTAGAGTCTTTAAACCCCTCAAGGCACTTTACAATACATCAGTCTTTTACTCTTCCACACACACATTCACATGCTGGTGGTGATGAGTCACAATGTAGCCACAGCTGCCCTGGGGCTAACTGACTGAGGTGGGTCTGCCGTACACACTAGTCACCAGTTCCACCTGAACACCACCAGCAGGCAAGGAGGGTGAAAAAACAACTGCGTCAGACTGAGTGGTATCAAGTCTCTTGATAACAACCAGGTCTCCAGTAACTAACCCATATGTACCCCAAGTTGTGTATTCCTAAGCTGTGTCAGACCCAAGTTAAAGCTTCTATAGCAAATATGGAAAACAAGTTGGCCTAAAACTTTTAGCCTCTTAACAACATTCTAACATAGTAAAGCTAAACTGGAGATTTAAAAAAAGAAATAAATTCATTCAATGATTCTCTGGCATTTGTGTTAAAGCCACCGCCAACACCAGCAGCTATTTAACCAAACACTTCCCTGGGTACTCCGTTCATCACACACTCACGTATTTAGCAGCAGAACACCACTGGTGTGAGAGGTTCTCCACTAACATCAGAGAAGGAGAAACAGCCGGCTGCTACCACTTCTACTTTAGGACAAACTACTAGAGTCCCAAAGAGAAAAACACCATTTGAAGTCACGACCAACAAAGGAAGTTTGGACCTAGAAAACCGCACTATCTTGTGTCCTCCCACAATGCTGCGGTTCCAGCAGAAGGTGAAGAGGGAGCTGAGCCAGAAAGCCAGGCTCTCGATTTACCGGTCGAGCTACGTCCCAATCCTCACCTATGGTCATGAGCTTTGGGTAATGACCGAAAGAACGAGACCACGGATACAAGCGGCCGAAATGAGTTCCCTCCGTAGGGTGGCCGGGCTCAGCCTTAGAGATAGGGTGAGGAGCTCGGACATTCGGGAGGGACTCGGAGTAGAACCGCTGCTCCTCCGGATCGAAAGGAGCCAGTTGAGGTGGTTTGGGCATCTGGTCAGGATGCCTCCTGGACGCCTCCCCGGGGAGGTGTTTCGGGCATGTCCTGCCGGCAGAAGCCCCCCGGGTCGACCCAGGACACGTTGGAGAGGTTACATCTCCAATCTGGTCCGGGAACGCCTTGGGGTCCTGCCGGAGGAGCTGGTGGAGGTGGCCGGGGAGAGGACGGTCTGGAGCTCCCTAGTTGGGATGCTGCCCCCGCGACCCGGACCCGGATAAGCGGAGGAAGACGACGAGTCGACGAAGTACATAACTCCACATGTGTTCATTCATAGTTTTGATGCCTTCAGAGAGAATCTGCCAATGTAAATGGTCATGAACATAAAGACAACACGTTGAATGAGAAGGTGTGTCCAAACATTTGGCCTGTGCTGTAAAAGTGAGCCACTCTGGAGCTGAGCTTCAGACGGCAGGATTTGGAGTCTTATTTCCTGACATTTGGACATCTTGCCAAATATCTAATATAACAGCAATACCACTGACTCTGTTCTGCAACGTTGATGTTTTATCTCCACAAACGACACAAAGCTGGCGTGAAGAACTCAGAGTGACTGATTATAATCAGAAATAATCATTTTAAATGTTTGTTCTGTGATTCGCACCTTTAAGTGACTCCAATGTGCCATCAAGACTTCTTCATGCAACTGAACTGAATTGGATTGGACTGAAAAGAACTGAAATAAAATAACTTTATTTATTTTATTTATTTATTTTGGTCATTTAAAAGGAAAAGAAAGAACACAGTAATACAGAATCTCAATTACAGTATAGTAACCAAGAAGGTGTAGGCTGAAGCCTAGCTTTTTATGCCTACCCTATTTACTCAATCACATTACTTCTAAAAAAAAAGAGACAATAATAAGATAAAAGTAATGTAATAATAAAAATGAGAGTGAGATAAAAATAATAATTATGATAATAATAATTGAAATATATTGAGCAACAACCATAATTCAGCAAGAGGAAAAATACCCAGAACTAAAGACAGAACTGTACAAAACTACCAGTAATCTTAATAAATCAATGTATGATAATGATCAAAACTGAGATTTAAACACTACAACTTGTGCAAGAACATGACATTTTCATTCACATCTATCAGACACACTAGACCACATACGGTCATTATGGTAGTATGACATCATCTTCTTGATGTACATTTTTAAAATGATTTAACAGTTTTACATGCCCTGATTCCAGTGTCCAAGTTAGTCCATAACTAGACTCCTACTGTTGTGCAACTCTGACTCCTAACATTTGTTCTTACTTTCTCTCTGACAAATTGTCCTTCTCCCCTTAGTTCATACTGAGTTTCTTTGACCTGGAATAGCTTCTGAATACAATCTGGAAATGTTTTATTTTGTGCTTTATAGAGTGCTGTTTGAATTTTGACCAGGTCTGCAAATTTAAGTATTTTTAGTTTATAAACAGGTAATCAGAGTTGGTAATTACTCTTATTGCTCTTTTCTGTAGTAAAACTATGGGTTTTATGTGAGATTTGTAAGTGTTTCCCCAGACCTCCAGACAGTACATCATATGAGGAAGTACTGATTGGTATAAGAGTAATAATAGTTTGTATATAATGGCCCAACATAAACTAAACACATTTATTTGGTATTCATACAAATGACTAAACAATAAAGAACTGCACTTTATGCTTTGCTTTATTCCTGTGTTACATCTGAATTATGAGTTGTTATATCACAGCTTCCATCCCACATATGCAACAATAACTGCATCAGTTTTCATTTAAAATGAAATGTGTCACATTTTAGTGCTTACACATTCAGAAATCCCAGAATCCTCAGCGTGTGAGGAAATCCCGCTCCGCTGCAGGAGTGAGAAACTGTTTCTAAAAGACTGAACAGGTGGGAAACCTACGCAGAAGTTGTGTTTAATCTGACAGCTTCAATACTTTATAAAGAAAAATAAATCCTGCAGTATTTTTCCCTTCAGAGAGTAATGAAAGGAAAAGTCCCTCCTCCTTTTCTCATTTAAACATCATTTC